AGGCGTCGCAGTGGCAGGTCGCCTTGGCGCTGCTCGACGGCTCCGGATCCGGAGATGTGGTGGGCTGCAACGCGGCGATGTCCGCCTGTGCCAAGGCACGGGGAGACATTGTCGGCTAGGGGCGGGGTGCTTAGGAAATGGGATAGTATATACCATGGTTGTGACCCACTTGTCATCGGTGGAAGGCTTACCAACCACTTACTAAAGTACCCCCCGTTCAAGTGGTGGCTTTTTGAAAGGAACAACAAGTGAGTCACAATCCAAACCTAATTGGAGAGGAGTGAGGCACAATCCCATAAATGGGTGCGGCCGCGTTTGGGAATTCTTTACGTGGTTCTGGGTAGACGATTTCAAAAAAAGGGTCTAGATGGTCTAGTGTCTCATGTCGGGTGACATTTCAGGAGGTCCAAAGATGTTGTATCCTCGTGACCCTTTTGGGTCGGTTTTCCGTTTCGTTTGTCAACCCATAGAAACGAGTTAAATCCTGGTTGAAAGGGTTGAACGACCAAGGCAACTTGTTGGTTTCTGATGTGTCCAGTTTTGGGGTTTAATTAAAGGTCAGCCTGTTATTTGACTTCTGGTTGGAGTACACAAAACCCTTTTGGGGCTGTTGTAGATTGCTTCACCAAAGGCACACCTCATTTGGAGTCCTGTTGTTTTAAAGATTGGCAATTTGCCCTTCCTTTAGGGCTACTGTTTCTCGCCTCCGACCCCCAGGGGAATTGTTTGGACAGCATTGGGGATGGACTTGGGAAGCTGTGGCGAGCTGAGGCAGTCTTGGTTCAAGCCCCCCTATCCTGTTGATTTCCCTCCAGTGTTAGTCCTTTTGTTTTCAGGAGCTTTGGACACTTGGATTCATGGGCCCAGATTTTTAGCGTTTTGTGTTCCCCCGCTGGTTTTCCTTGAGAAAAGGGAAACCCCTTCTAAACGCTAAACGTCGAAAGTTGACGGGAGACATGCAGTGGGGCGCTTCATTTGAGCAGCTGACTTGGCTTGGTGGTTTTGATGGGGTGGCTTCCCGTCTAAGGTTTATGAAATCAAGTTCCCAAACCAAGAATCCAAACCACCCAGGGTTAGTAACTTGTGTTGAGCCTTTTTTGAGCCTCGGCCGGGGCATTTCACCCGTCTGGTAGTGGTGGTGGTCCACATTGGGGCACCCGAATCGTTTGTTCCTCAACCCCCCCGGTTGTTTTTTGATTTTGACTTTCTAAACCCAAAACCAAGATGTAGAGCATGACCAAAACAGGAAAGAATTATTGGCCTTTTGCTTAGTTGTTTTTTTCTTACTTTTGTTGCTGCTTTGCTTTCCTGCCCCAGACCTCGCCCCATGTTTGAACACGGTGCGCGACCTCTTTGTTGCGCCCATGATTTGTTCCAGGCTTCCCGGTGATCCCAGCGACCACGTCACTCCATGCCTTGAAAAGTCAACTGGCAAACAAAGGGGTGGCCCTTGATCCCCCAGAAGACCGCTGGGCGAATTCCTGATCGGTATTTCACTGGTGCTTGGGACGATGGGCAGAGATCTCTGCAAATTGAGAAGCGAACGAGGGGGAGGATCCAAGCCCCAACCAGTTGACTGAACAACTGGACATCCGTAGTCCCCAGTTTTTTTGAATTTGGGGTTTTCCGACTTGTTGTTTCTTCTTTTATTATTTTTGTTTTTCTCTGTTTGGTTTCCCACCCGCCGTTTGGACTTGTTGGTTTGATTTTGTTGTTGTAGGCTGGGCAATGGGAAGCAGCCCTGGCGCTGATGAAGATGATGCAGCGTCGCATGGCATGGAAGAGTTCAAGGTCCCCCAGTGGTGCCCGTTTACCCCTTTTTTTTGGGGGAGGGATCCTTTTTTGAAATAGGCCACAGAAAAATAGGGTACCCTTATTCTAACCTCTCCACTGGAGGACCTAGAGTTTGTGAAAGTTGGGTCATTGCGCACACTCCTCGCTCAAATTGTCCCAAATGGTTGGTTTGTTTTTGGCTCAGCTTCCATGTCTTCGGAGGATTTATCTCCGGCGTGCTTTTTGAAGGGACGCCGGGGCGGGTGTTCTTCTTTCTAGGGGTTGATCCCCCATTCTTTTCAACCATCGTTCTTTTCAAAAACTCAGCTGTTTCCCCTGGGGTTCTGTTGGTTTTCTGAAAAGATCCGGATCCCTGGAAAGAATGGAAATGGAAGTGTCCCCTAGATCCTTTCTTCTTCAAAGACCAGTCCGCTCTTCGGCAACGCGAAGCCTGCAGTTCAGAGCAACGTTGACGCACACTGGTACTCCAACAGGTCGATTCATGAGGGATCAAAGTTGGTTAGTTTTTGGTAGTCAAGGGCAAACGTTTTTTTGTTGTTGCTTTCTGTTGGTTTTTTAGTTGGCAACTTGTTGGTGCTTCGATGTGATATCATGGGTTTTGAACTTTTTGGCCAGGGCAAACGTCCCGGGTTTCTTTCTGTTGGGTTGGCAAAATCTTGGGACAGCCCCAAGCTCTTGGGACCTCGCAGCTTCGAGACGACCGCGACGCGACGTGTGTGACGTGAGCTGAGGCGTCAAGGTGCCAGGGGATGAGATCACCTTCAACTGCCTGGCCACCTGCTGCGAGGATCGAGCCATGCCATCTTCCTGTTCCCTGCTTGGTCCTTTGGGAGATTTGGGGAGATGTGGTGCACAGTTCCTGGACCCTCAAGCTACCCTGAACTGGGGAAATGAAGAAGGATCTGGGCTGATTTCTCCAATTTTGGTTCGGAGCTGGGGGAACATTCGCGGAATTATTTGAATGGTTAAGTTTCTCTTGGTTGATTCTCAAGGCAAGCTACACGGAACCCACTGGCTTTGGGGGTTGCCCCATTGTGTTCTTCTCCGATTGTGTTTTTTGTATTTTAGGGTGGACCAAATAGGGATCATAATCAGGACATATTGTTCTTTGTGTACCCCTGGGTCCAAGTAAAAGATGATCAAACCACAAGGCTCGTCAATCAGTATTGCGATTGGGTCCTTTTGCTTTCCTTGTCAACTCCTTTTTGTGGGCCAAGAGTACACACTCCCTGAGTTCCTGGATGTTATACTTTTTAGGAAGGCCATTGTGGTGGCAAATATACTGCACACTTTTTTCGGCCATTCCCCAGTGAGGCGTTGCTGGTTCTATTATATACCCGGTTTCATAAAGACAGCCACCTGAACACGGGTGGGCATACCTTTTGATTATACCCCGATCCTTCTTTCCCTGTACTTATCCCGTTCATGTTTGCACTCCATCTCAGGTCTCCTCACCATGGTTGCAACATGTTACAACCCACAAAAGCCATGGCTATAAGTCTCCTAAAGGGGTTATTTCACCGGGCTTACTAGCCGCTTACTAAGAACCCGAGCGCCCCTTGAAGCATAGCGACTCAAGAGGAAGCCTCCCGCTGGCAGCTGGCAGTCCAACTTCTGCTGCACCTCGGCGCAAGCGGAAAGCTCGATGTGGCGCGGAAGCCGCGGCTCCGGTGGTGGGGCGACCGGGTTCTTCCAAAGGAGGTTTGGCTGGGCAACAACTTACTGGTGCGGTAGGATGAGAAATGGAATGACCCCTATAAACCATCCCTTGTGGTTTTCTTTAGGGGATGCTGGGTTCATTCCCTCATTTCCTGCTGAGCACCAGCAAGACAAAGTGTTGTATTTCTGTTGTCTGTTGCTTTCAAAGTCAAAGAAACACAGAATAAAGCAAGAGTTGGTGAGTTTGACGGGAAACTGAAGAGCAAACACCGTTTGTTGTTTCCCCAGAAGGAGATACCTCCAATTGTTTGACAACTTTCATGTTCTGGATTATGTTTTTTGTTTAAACGGGACTCACTTGATGTTACTTCCTTGTCCCAAGTCGACATTCCCGTCCAAGCCATGACGTTTCTTTTGGGGCTTCACGCTGCCTAGACAAAGAGTTTCCCGAAGCGATGGTGTTTCTTCACATGTGTTGTCCATTTTTTGCGTGTGGAGTGAGTGTTCCATCGCTTAGGTCGGCGAAATCCGCGGCGCCGAGTCCCTACCTGAAATTTCCTTCGGCGCCTTCCTTCGGGCAAGGTCGAAGAGGTGGTTTTCAAAATCCCTTCGGCGAGAAGCTTTGAGTTCAAAGAAGTTGTTTTGGACCTGCGTTGAACTCCCTGAGTTCCACTTCAAACTTTTAACACCCAGCGACTCCTAGTAACCTGTATAGTAACTGGAAGCGGTCAGTTACCAATATGGCAGGTAGCTGAGCTGGTTCCGCACATGGAGGGAACTGGAAGCACTGGGCCAATTTAGTTGTAAACAACAAGTTTAAACACTTAGTCCACACCTTCCGACCACCCACTTTAAGGGGGCCTTTCAGCATTTGGAACTGGAGGCACCGCGGCACTCCCCTGAGCCGCCGCTTGCGCGAGCTCCTGGCCGGCGACGAAGTCGCCCTCGGCGTCGGCGTCGGAGGCTTGGGGGCCACGGAGGGCTCGCAGCTGCTGTGGCGCCTGGGGAAGCTCGCGAAGACCTGGCCCAAGCAGGAGACGAGACGTGCCCCGAGGGTCCACTTGCATAAGAATATAGTTTTAGTTTCCCCTGTTGGGTTTTAAAAAGGAATCGATCACTACCGGATGTGTTTTTTTCTTTTTATTTTTTTTCCAGGGGTCTGAACCAAATGGAAGCTAGGGAGAGACCTTTTGGAAAACAAAGAAAGAAACGCTTCGAACTTTTGCAAGCGAAGAGCAAGCTAAGGCAAACATTTGCTGCGGAGAGCGTTTGGGAAAAAAACGAAATATTGGAGCAAATTGGCGCTGGAAGAGTTAAGAGCACATCGCCATTTTGCTGTGTTTGGTTTCTAGTGCAAGTTTTGCGATTTGTGTTTCTGGATCAAGAGTGGTGATTTGCCCAAGGGTTCCAATGAATTTGCGACCTGAGTCGCTGAGCAACTCGAGTTTCAACCTATGAACCTTTTGATTTGAGGGAATGTTAGTTTGCCCAGAGGACAGCATCGGGAAATGAGCATGTTCATTAGCTTCATTAGATTTCTAGACCCCTTATATTCTCGAAGCCAAGCCATTGCCAGGTTTGGCTTACCTTTTTGACGTTTTCCACGAGGTTCCCTTTTAACCAGCAGAAGCGCCCCACTTTTGGCCAAGTCTGGCCCAGAAGCCTTGGCATCCTTAGAAATGACGCACTCGTCCCGGCCCATGGGCCCCCCGTTGCACCATTCCCCCAATATGCACTCGTCTTTGATGGAAGCTGCAAGCATCTGTTGGAGTTGTGAACATGGTGTTGGTTGTCTAGGTCCCCCAGTAGTGCCCTTTTACCCTTTTTTTGGGGGGCGTTCCCCTACTAAAATAGACTACAGAAAAAAGGGTACCCTTATTTCAACCTCTCTACTGGAGGACCTAGTTGTTGTGCTCGCTCGGAGACGTCAGGGCTTGGGTTTCCATCATGGCGATTTCACAGCGCTCGGGGGCATCGCCAGCGAATGCTGTAGGTTACTTTACTTGATCCCTGAATTCTGGTTTGTGAAGTCTCGTTGAAAGGGGTCCCTTTAGAAGAGTAGACCAAATGTTTTGCAAGCACAAGCTATTTGGCAGTGGGTCAAAATTAAATCACCAGGAATTGGACCGCAGGTTTTAGTCCATGTTTCCATTTACCAGGGTCTCCAATCCTTGATGGACAGAATGCAGAAAAAGGCATCCCTCGATTTGAAACTGATCTTTAGGTACTCTCCAGGTGCTACAGAAGGGTATAGCTTCGCATTTCAACACCTGTTGACCATTTCAGTGGGTGCTAGCACTGTGGAACAAACATAAGGTCATTCGTGTATTTTTGTATCAGGCTCGTTCTGGAACCAGACTAGTCAAAGTATGTGCGTTTTGAAGGGGCAACTCGCATCAAAATCAACACCTGAAAGAAAGATGTGCTTTTCCTCATGGAAATCCGCCGGAAGTTTGAGAAGGGCATACTGCGGGAGAAACACATTTGCTTTTGGACCCCCATGTGCTGATGTGTTTTGTCCAGTGAACTTCAGGCAATACACGAATCAGCCTTCAACACGCAAAGAAGTACCCCTTTGCAGGCTGTGAATGGACAAAATCCTGCACCAGTTCCAACTGATGGTGTACTTTAGTGCTCCCGCGCAGTTTTTTTTCTCTCTGTTTTGTGGCTGCCTGGTCGGTTTTTTTTTGCGCTCGGAACTCGGAGGAGCTGCGGCGAGCCGCGGTGAAGGTGCTCCAAGCAGTGGACGCCTCTCAGTTCAGCTTGCAGGCGAGTGAGCGACGTCTCGACCGCGCGAGAGACGGCCGGGGGAGAACCGAAATGGGCGATCGATTCTGTACGTCAGAGTGAGGAGTAAGCTTGGTTGTAGCCCACTGAACGGAGACTTATGACCCTGGGACCCTGGTAAGTGGGTTATACCCGGGCTTGCTAACGAAACAGACCAACAACACATGCCGCTTTTGAACACCGCACCTGTGTACATGCCATCACATCTGAAGTTGGACTCCCATGTTGTCAGTCCCATTTGGTTGTTGAATCCTATGTGTTCGGTCAGCGCTCGGTGATGATGCCATTGACGATAAGCATCCTACAACTGACGAACGTTGGAATGGACCCCCAAGTAGGCCCTAGGGTTCAACCTCCATGAAAAGAACCCCCATCAAAAGAATGGTTGACCCAATTTGTATGATGACAATCCTTATTAGGCACACAACGTTGGCTATAAATGAATGATATATATATACACACACACACCCAAAAATCGTTTTGCGGAAGGGGTGCTCACATGGATGTAGTTTTACAGCTCCAACGCTTGCAAAACACTGTACATGACACGTGCTCTTGTGTTAGTGGTGGTAGCTGAACCTCAGGGTACGCCCCGAAACATCAGGTTCCATGTGAATTGGTCTTCCACCCCCCGTGTTAACTGGTGGGAGGGTAATATGGATGACAATCCTTTGGTGAACAATGGTGGTTATATGAACCCCCTTTGTTTTCATGGTGGTATTTTTTGAACCCCAAAGTACCTGGAGTCTCCATGGCCCTTCAAAAATGGGGTCATTGTCCAAAACAATGGGGTCATTGACCCATTTTTAGAGGGTCAGACGGAGACTCCAGGTAGGTCCTTTTTGAAGCTCCAGGCTGTCAGCCGCCCCGTTAGGACCCTGTGAAATCCTATGTTAATTGGTCTTCCAGGACCCCCCTGATAGTTAGTGGGAGGGTAGGTCTTTTGTTTGAAGCCTTTTTAACCCAAAGTAGGTCTTCTGATTGAACCCCCCGGTGTTAATTGGTGGGAAAGGTCGTTTTGAAGCTCCAGGTTTCCAGTTGCCCGGAGGAGCTCAGCGCCAGCCTCTGGGCCTTGTCCTCTGTCGGCCTGGACGCCGCCGGTCTCGGCGTGGGCGTGCGCGACGTAGCCGTTGGAGCGGAGCTGCGGGCGCTGAACTTGCGGGGTCTCTCGGTGATTTTAGCGCCGAAGCCTAGGAGGTCAACTTATTATGGGGGCTGGGGGGAGGGGAGGCCTTAAGGGCTTAATAAGGGTTTGAGCTCCTTCCCTCCCTTCCAGCCCCCATGAAACCTACCAACCCCCCCGCAATATGCAGCAAAGTTGGCACCAACATTGCGGACTGTCTCTTGACAGTCCTTAGGAGTTTAAATCCACCAAACACCCCCAATATGCACCGAGATGGCTGCTACAGAAGAAGGTCACTCTTGAACCATTTCATAGCTGTAGCGTGGGGTCCTGGTAGGTGCTTTCCGTTTGTTTACCAACATCCCTTTCATGAAGGGCTAAGATGGTGCCAAACTTTCACCCAGGACTGGCGCAGCTGGCGAACGCCGACGAGCTGCTGGCGGGCTGACTGGAGTTTTCCGGGGCATGGTTTCTTTGGTTTTCATTTTGCCAAGGGCTGTTAGGACTTTAACTTTTTGCCAACGAATTTGGGTTTTCCGTATTAAACCACAAAAAGTTATTCACTTTTAGCAGGGGTGCAGAAAGCAACCGAGTTTAGTCGCTTTTTTTGAAGGGCGCCTTTGTTGGATTGCTCTTGCATGGCTCAACCCCAAGCATCCAGTTTTGTTTTGTTGCTGTTTTTTTTTTCCCAACAGCTGGAAGCTATGGGGTCTTTGCCCAGATAGGGATAGACGATAGACTCCAGAGAGATTCGGGTGGCTCCGGCCTAGGCTACCGGAAGGGGTTGCTGTTGGGAATATCACTGGGCCTATTGCTTTTAAGCGGGTTCCATTTGGAAAATTGATGCCAAACGAATTGTGCGCTGTTTGTATTTGTTGCCATGTCCGCCGTGCAGCTCCGGTTCGAACTCCGCCAACTTCGGCAAACCTGAGATCTCCAGTGGTGGCTTTGGTTCCTTTCGGTTGAAGACCTCCCTTCGAAAACCCAACGTTGCAGTTGCCAGTGATCAGCGCCCTTTCAAAGTCAACTACACCAAAACGGGTGCCCCTAAAGCTTGTTTTTGCAGGTGCCCCCCCCCCAAAAAAAAAGAGAACAGGTGCCCCCTTAGCCCTTTGTTCCCATAGCCAATGCAGGCTTGTGTGAAGCGTCACCTTATGACCCTCCCCATGGGATCTGGCAGGTGCCGGTCCAGCACGAGCTGGCTGCGCGCTGCCGCTTCGCGCGAAGAGATGCGGACGCCCAGTTGCCCTATGGCGCGGCGTTTCACTCCTTTTTTTCCGTGCAGCGTGTTTGTCTCCAAGAAAGCAAGAGCTTTGCTTCCTTTGGTTTATCTCTTTCCACATGGTAGGTGTTTGCGCTTCAAAGGATGTGTATTTTAAGTATATCTATTGTCTATGATCTTTGCTGGTTTCCAGTGTGTTTTTTTCCAGTTGTCTAAATTGTTTTCTTATGGTTTCCTATGATCCATGTGTTTGTCCTCTGTATTCCTGTTGTTTCAACGGTTCTTCTATGTTTGTGTTTCCTTTTTTTTCTTCTACGGTTCTCCTATGTTTTAGCGGGTCTGTCTGCTTTCGGGGACGCCACACATTCTGGTCTTCCTTTTGGGCCGTCCTTCAAAACCCATCAAAAACCAAAGGAAACCCAAAGGCGACCACACCCAAAGACGACCAACAAAGCTGAAACAGCGCGCATTGCGGTGGTTCCTTGTGACTTTCCGTTGAAAAACGCAAACAACCACAAAAAACGAAGAAGCAAAAACACGAGAAAGCAAAGGCCAAGGCCAGGCCCCAAGGCCACGCGACTCAAACGACGAAGGACTTCGCCACCGTGGCCTTGGCGGTTCTCTGGTCCGCCGCCTTCGCCGCGCGGACCTCGCGCCGGGCCGCGCGCCAGGCCACCGTGCGCGTGCGCGAGCGCTGTGACGCGAGCGATGGGGTCGTTTGGGGTGGGAAACCGCGGAGCCGAAAGGACGAGCACTACGGTGGATGGTGGCGAAATCCATTTGGCACCACAGAAACCATGGAGTTTGATGATTTCCCTGTAAATAGCAACAAAGAATGGTTTCCCATGGTTTCAATCCGGTGCAGGATTTTGTCCATCCACAGTAGTTCTCGTCCAACCGCCCTTTACTAGGAGGTCATACCTTAAAGGACGAGATCTACTTAAAGGGGCGATCAGGCGATCGATACGGCACGTGAGGTATATAAGCGAGTTGAGGGGGTTCGAGTTGGTAAGGTGCTCAAAGCTAATGGCTCTATGGGCACTCTTTTTTGTGTCAAGGGGCATTGCACGTCAGGTAAGTGGTGTTGACCACGGTCATACCCAAAAACGACGTGGCTGTAAGTCTCTGTCCAGTGGGTTATAACCAGGCTGCATGCTTCAACCCTGTAAAGGCTTCGAAGGTTTAAGGCTGAATATTCAGTTGACACAGCCAATCTGAACCTATGACTTTCTGTTTGCAGTGGGCCAAGACAAACATTGATATGGGTTTGTGTCTTTCCGTTTTGGCGATTGTTTGAAATGGAAACCACAAAGAACCCAACTCACCGTTTCGCGGGTCTGTGACACACAGCAAACACACAGAAAAAACCATGTTGTTTTTTTCCCCCCCCCCCCCGTTTTTCCTGTGTGACTGTCACAGAGGTCCGCACACTGCGTGAGGTCCGCCAAGTGCTGCAAGCCCTCGGCCGCGACCGGGACCTCGCGCCTCGGCTGCGGGCGCTGCCGGTGGCGCCGCAGCCGGCAGTGCTGCAGGTGGGATGTGCGGCGCTGGTGAGCACGTGACGTCGTTTCGGCATTGTTTATCTAGGGGTCTGGACATACGTTTTTTTTCTTCTTTTTTCTAGGGGTCTTAACCAAATTGGACATACGTGTTTTTCTTCTTACATTTGGTCTTAACCAAATTGGTCTTAACCAAATGGAAGTTGGTGGGTGTGTCTTAAAGAAATCGGATCCCCATGCCGGGGTTCCTTGGGTCTTCGAAAATCAGACAAATCGTTGGTGCATTTTGCCAACGGATGGTTGGACTTTAGCTTTTTGCCAACGAATTTGGGTTTTCCCCATTCAACCACTAAAAGTGAATTTCACTGTTTGCAGGGGAGCAGAAAGCAACCGAGTTACTGTAAGTTTGAACAAAATATCGAGGATCTGCGTGGCGTTGTTTTGTTTTTTTTGTCTGTGTAATTGTATGTATTTCTATAAACAGAATTGGTTGGATTCCTGATATTCTTCAAATTTGATCTCAGGACCAGAATCAGAACAATCAATTTCTGGAGGTAGAAGCGGGGAGGCTTCTGCGAAGCAAGGGTCCGATGTATTTGCGGGTCCAAACTTAGGACCAGTCCTTCTTTTTGCGGACCCCTCAAAAGTGGTTGTCATTATATCCAAGAAGGGGTTTCCTTGTTATTGAGGCAGACCCATGTGAACAGGTCTCGTGCGGCCTCCTTCGGATGAAAATCCCCAAAACCATATGTACGACAAGGGGGGTTACCTCTTTTTGAGACAGACCCATGTCACCAGATGTCACAAGAACCTTACACAGAGTGAAAGTAGAAGCCAAAATTCCCTTTCTGTTAAGTGAGTGGGATGGAAAAACGCGGTCTCCGGGGGGGAAAAAAAACAAAACGACCACCCTATAACATGGCGGAATGGTGGCATCTACTCGTACTTTTGGCCCGTGGCTCTCCATCGGCCAGGCCCACGACGTGCTCGCGGTGCTCAAAGAGCCGCACTGGCAGGTGGATGAGCGCGACGCATTGGATGCTGTAGCCACTCAGCGTCACTCAGAGAGGGAACTTTGTCCCGGGTTCCTGGACTTTCGATTTTTGGTGAAGAACACGCTGAAATCGTGCCTGAAAGTCTCTTGGGGAAAGCAGGTCTAAGATTGTTGCCACTACTCCCAGGCCATTTCCTGCAGGGATTTAATGGGATATACAACCACTATAAAGCCACTTTATGCATGGGTTATGCACCCCCAATTTCCTCTGGGGGTATTCGGGGGTAGTGGAAACCATCTTTGAGCAGGGATGAGGATCCTGCTCATCCCGGTCCCTGCTTGTTAGCCCAACCTCGCTAGGCTCAAGCGTGGAGGGTCAATGCCTCAGTTTAGGTACGATCAATGCCCTAAATGTGGGAACAAGGGAAAGCTCTAATTTACCGAGGGAGAATGGCTGGTCTGCTGGTCTATTTGCAATTAGTGTATGTTATATTTAGGGCATGCACCGTATCCAATGTGAGTGCACCCACCCCTCGAAACCTAAGAAGTTTGTTTTCTATCAACCGCTGTTTGACAAGTCGTCCTTTCAAGCGGTGATTCATTTTGTTTGGGAGTTCCCTGTTGAATACGCGGGGTGGGTCAAATTTCCGGGCAATATCTATTGTCAGAGGTCGTCTTGATGACAATTCCGGGCATTTTCGGGGTGCTCGGGTGTGCGAGTTGTTGGAAAAGCTACAGGAGCCAAAGATTCGGAGCTTCCCCCACAGACACATGCATACCCAGCGGGTCCGCTTTTTGTGGGGGGCATGTGCTACATCTTCACAAAGTACAAAACAAAGAACCATTGGAATACGACAAATGGCCGAATCAGGCCGAATTTTGACCAAACACAACGCCAAATTGCGGCTCGCTTCGTTTGGCTCAGGAAAGGGCCTGGGACGAGCGAGGCCTGGTGTCCAGCTACGTGCAAGCCATGCTCCCTCGGAGGCGGGGGCCTGCCGAAGCCACGGATTTGGTTGGGTTAATGATTTAATGTAGCCGCCATTGTTTGCGTAATGGTCATCATCCAAATTTGGTCAACCATGCTTTTGATGGTTGAACCCTGGGGTGATATGTTGCTGTTACCTCCATGGATTTTGAAGTGAAACCTACCCAAAAGTTGTAACGACCCGAGTTTGTCGTTTTGTGGAATGAGCTACTATCAGATACTAGGGCCTAAAGAGTAACGGGGTTGTGGGGTACTTCAGAACCATATTTAGTCAGACAGGGCTTAACCATCAGTACTTGTCATGCTCACCTTATGAAAATCAAGCAAGACCAAACAGGTTTGCTTTTGGGTCTTATCTTGGGGAACTCCTTCAGTTTCCGCTAAGTTCTGGCTGCGGGTTAGGTATTATTTTGCGGAAACATGGGGAGGGGTTGGATCCTATGATGTCCGAAGTGAGTTGTGAGACATTGTTTTTAGGGCCACCTTTTTGTGGTCCAAGAGGATTCCCTGAAAAATCACACACACACACACACATCGCCCTGCAATGGCTATCAAATGGTCCCAACATGTCTTAAACAATGTCACTGAACAAGCCATTCGGTAGCCGTTGGGTCCTGAACATAGCTGTGTCCATTTTTGCGGGGGCTCCCCCCAAAACAAAGACAAACAAATAAAACACAAACAAAGCAATAACAAAAAGAACTACAAAAAGCAAAGAAAGAACCACCAATATGGTTCTTTTCTGGCTTCCCTTTAAACCCCGACCTCTGGCAAAAATATTTCACCGGGGCCCGTGGTTTGGTCCAGGCTCTTCCCGTTGGTCCACGACCAGCAGACCCAGCGAGGCTTCCTGCACCGCCTGGACGTGCCGAGCTCGGGCCTGATTTTGGTGGCCAGCTCCTACGAGGCCTTCTACGACCTCAAGCGGCCTGGACCAAATTTCATGGATTTCTGGGCGGCGATGTCGGGGGGGGGGGGCTGTAGGAAGGGGGGGCAAGGGAGGGGGGGGCATTCCTGGATTTGTTGGGGGGGGGTGGGGGTTAGACTGCCTGGACAGAATTTCACGGATTTCTATGGTATCGCTAGCCCGAAAGAATAGCCAACCATCAGGGGTTTCTCTGGCCAAATTCATGGACTTTTAGGGGGGCTATGGGGGGGGGGTTTCCCGCCTTAAGAAAACAAACACTTAGAGGACTTATAACCATGACTTTTGGATGGTTTTCAATTGTTTCCCTAAACTTGAGAAGTCCCCAAATGGTTATGTGTGCTTTTATGAGGGACTTCGACCCAAAGGGAAACCTCGATGTTTGAGGCCCGAACATGTTGACTGGGTCCAAAACCCCAGCAGCCCCCACAACCGCTATCACATGATTTTTCTAGTGACCTGGTTGGACTATTCGGGGCCTGCTGACAGCCAGGGAAGGGCTGGTGGGGATATCAAGCTGCACTCAAAGTCTCCAATGTTCCAAGAGTACCGAATCCCACATTTGCCACAAGTTGTGCAACTAGTGGTCGTACTCTAGACAACATTTTAGATGCCACTTTGGATCCCACCAACGGCACTCTGGCGCGGAAACATGAAACACCAAACCCAGCTTTGCTTGGCTGAATACGGTTTCCACAAGTGAGACTCAACCTGAGCCTTTTTGTTCTTCTTTATTTTTCCGAAAAGCAATTTGATTGATTCTTTGGGGCGGTCTCGGACCCAAAAGGCCTTTTGGAAGTGTCTGGGTCGGTCCGACGTTTCGTCCTATGGCCTATTTTAGCATTCACAAAGTGGAGGCGGCAAAAACCTGGAACCAAGCAAGTATTCCCATGTCAATTACGGGAACCAAAGCCATTTTGGCTGCGGCTCAATGACTTGACCTTGCTTGGATGTGTTTGGGCTATCAGACCCCAGAAATACCCTCGCCCAGAAATTACTAATGCTAATGCTGTGTTAGACCCATAGATATGTCTGGTTCTTTTCGACCTGTTTGGATGATTTTCCCACTTGATGGAGCAGGGTGCTTAGTAGGTAGGTAACAAGCGTGGTTATAACCCACTGAACAACTTACAACCTTGGCTTTTGTGGGTCTTAATTACTTAGTGCCCGATCGCCCCTTTTAAGAAGGGTTCAGTCCAAGTGTGAACCAACAACGTGTTCCCTGTAAGTACCAGCCGATGGTTTCCACCACGGTTCCAAGTAGTGCGAAATGGATTTTGTCCATTCACCGATGGAACAATCGACTCAGAGCTCAAGGTTCCAGTTGGCCACTGGCAGCTTGGTCCGGGATTACCTCATCCTCTCCCATGGCCATCTTCCAAGTGGCCGAGAGGTTCGAGCGGCGTCTCGTCCAATGGCCTTACCCCCTACCAATAATTCATTGGCCCCAGATGCAAGGGGGGTAGTTTGCAACTTGCAACTTTGCGACTTGTCACTTGTTGAGACCAAATAAGGCCTGCAAGTACCTGAGGCAAACCATTTTTGATCCCAAAGTCACTTGTCACTTGTTTGGACCAAATAAGGCCCTTGTTCATTGCTGTCTTTTGGGGATTCTGCCGATCGGTCCCTGAAGCTAAATGAGGCAAACCCAAAACAATCAAAGGAACCTATCCCGCTCGTGCTACAAACCTTCGACGGCACCCACCCAATCAGCTCAGTTCGCCGCGACAATTTATGTGAGCAGCGGTGAGCTTTTGCCGTCCTGTAAAAAGCAAAAACAAACTGCCAGTAGGACATGGGGAGGAGTACTCAGCAAAAACAAAGTCAGACCATTGACTGTGGCTCAGGTATCCCAGACCTTCAGTGGGGCAAGTTTTGGCCAATGCTCAAGTTTTGGCACAATGAAGAATGACCATAGCTCAAATATGAACTTCTCTGAACCCCTAGTTTGCTTCATGTTTCATGTATGGCTTATCGATAGGAACCCTCCCCCTTGCGTACAGTAGAAGGGGTCCCATAGTTTAGCCATTAAATGAGTACTTAACCAAACTCGACCCCCCCAAATTGCAGGTGTTCGTTTCTTCACTGTTTTTGGGCAAGTTGTTTGGTTTGTTATCACATTGTTAGTAGGGAGCTGCAACAAACAGTTAGTTTTTGCAGACACCCCCAAGGGGTGTAAAGTAATGTTGCACTTTGATTCTCCCGAAAGGTTGGTGCTCCTTTGGTCTCCCATACTTTACTTTACTTGTTCATTTCTTTGGTTCTGTTCATTTTAGTAGGGGGCTGCAAGAAACAGTCAGTTGTTTGCTTCCATACCAAGGGTTCCGCCTAAAAAGCCACCTAAAACACCTAGAGCGCCACCTACAATTTTATTTGTTTATTTAACAAAAAACAACTAGAGATACCAAGGTGCGTTTGGCTTTCCACCCAGAAACCACCACCCACTCCAGCCACCCACCTCCGCGCTCGCGCGTTCTCGCGGCTCTCGAGGCGCTCAGCTGGCGCTCCCAGGGGCCCAAGGCCAACGAGGTCTCCGCGGTGAACTTCTCCCCGGGCGCGCGAAAATCCCGCACCAGGCGAGAGAGGGGAATCGAAGGCGGCTGGGCTTGGGCTTGGGGAGGGGGGGTTGGTGGCGCTGATTTGTTCTCCTTTTTTATTTTTCATAGTGTGTTGATTGGTTTGGTAGGTGTTTTGTTTTTTCTTACAGGTATGTGTTGATTGGTTTGGTAGTTGTTTTTCGCTGTTTGGCTCTGTTCATGTCTTGTTGCTTTTGTTGTGATTATGTTGTTCTAGTTGTTGTTTGGCTCTGTTCAGTTTTATTGTTTGTTTCTTCCTGTCTGCTTTGTTGGTCGGTTGCCCTCCCCACCCTTTTCACATGGAACCTGACGTTCCGGAAATCGTTCCTCCAAAAGAAAAATGGCCCAAACCAGGTATAGTTGTTTTTGAGCTCTGTTCATGTTTTTAAACCGGGCCTCAAAAAAATGTCCCATGTCCTTTCGCGGAAACCTTCGTGAATGTGACCGATGGTGGTTTCTCAACATAGCCGACCCCCTCTTGGTACTTAGCAGGACACCAAGAGGAGATCTTTCGGGGGCCAGAATTTTGAGGAACCCCCCATTTACGGGCATGGACTACTTCAAGGGGCCATCGGGTAGTAAGTGGTGAGTAGGCCTGGTGAAAACCCAAGCCATGGTTACAAGTGGGTATGGCTCAACATTAAAGAGCTAGGGTTACGCAGGTTTTAGGCTTTGGTTCCGTTTACCCAGGTGCCATGTTGGTACCACTGTTTTGAGCCACAGCCAAGTCTCTGTTCAGTGGGTTGCAGACAGGCTTGCTAGCTGACTAAGTAGCCCTCTGAGACGCGCGAGGCTGCGGCTTCTGACGCACGCCAGCTGGCAGACCAAGGCGATGAGCATGATCCAGGCGGGGGGTGGCCCTTTCAGGATCTCGAACATGGTTCATGTTTTAGGGCGGGCTAGACACATGAATGAATCTGATTCGACTGAACAAGGGGAAGCACATACATATGCAGGTTCGTCAGATGGCCTTTCAGTTTTGGTGGATGGGAGTGAAAGGGCAAACAAGAAGAAATCAAGCATATTGGGGACCCCTGTTCGGAGAGCTTCCTATTGCAATGCAATGGAATCAGGGACCACCGCAAAAGTGGTTGTTGGACAAGAATCACCACACAATCGATGTCCACCATGCCTAAAGGGGCAAGGTACTTAGTAAGTGGGTAACAACCTTGGTTATAACCCACTTGGGCCATGCTGGTAAGTCTTCCAAGTGGGTTATACCCAGACCTGCCAACCACTTACCAAGTACCCGATCGCCCCTTGAAGTGTGGTGGACTAACCGAATCACCACAATCCACCAAAGGGCCAGAGGTCACGACCTGAGGTGCGAATCCTGACCGGGCGGCGGCACCAGATCCGCGCGCACGTTTGCTTCATCGGCTGTCCCACTGCCACGGATGGGAAGTACACCTCGCTGCCCACATTCCAAGAGGACAGCCAACTGCCGGAGCCTCGGTTCGTCGCCTTTTGGGCTTTGGCCCAATGTACGGAAGTGAGATACTCAAGGGAAGTTCAGAGCCATGCTCGGAGGTTCAACCAACTTAGTAGGTTACAACCCTTGCAACTAGGGCAACTGGGCTTGGCCCCCTTCCCATGGTCGCAACCTACTTACCTGACGTAAGTGGAACAAGTAGCCCAGGTCGGGGAAATCCTCGGAAAACCAGCGGAAATCCGCGTGATTTTCGGTCCACTATCGGGAAATCCAGAAGCCGAAGGAACCCTTTGTCCAGAAGCCGAGTTCATGGACTTGAAGCTTTGTGGGCATAGGTGTCCTTGTTGGTTGTTTTTGCTAGAACAATAGATGGCCCTGGTTTACCTGGTGGTTTAATCATCTACCAGGGCCATCTATTGCCCCTAAAAGGGCACCTATGTTTGTGGGAAGACCATTTCAGCAACCAAGAAGATTGGACAAGTTTGGGCAACCCACTCAGGAAGCGAGATGAGGGTCCCTGTGAAGCAAAAGTCGTGTTGCGAGCTGGTGGCTGGAGGGGGCCACTGAACCCTTCAAGAATAAGTTTGGATATATTTTTTTGGGCCAAGCAACAACTCGGGAAGTGTTTCAACCAGACAAGAAGTTTGGACCGCTTGTTTGTCCAACCAAAAACTCAGGAAGTGTTTCAACCAGCCAGAGATTTGTTTTGCGCAGGTGCCCTCGCAACTTCCTCCACCGCCACCGACTGGGCTTCCACCGCTTCCGGGATATTGAGGCAGTGGAGGCAAGCTCCGTCTGAGAAGTTGTTCCCTGCAATTGGCTCTGGGTGAATTAAAATGACCTCACACTACCTCACCCCCAAATGGTGGTGTTTATGTGGGAATAGCCCCAACCACCTTATTTCAGGCTGGTAGTCAAGGAGTCGGTTGCCACCCTTGGGCAGGCCGCAGCCTTCTTTGGGGGGGGGGGGGGGGGCAGTCGGGTAGTCAAAACCAATGGGATCCCATTTTGGGGTAGGTGCACCACCCATTTTAGAACCTATTTTAGTCGGGATTGGGATGTTCACTGGGGGTAGAAGGGTGGAAAGTTGCTTGTTCCCGCTTCCATTTGCTGAAATGATTATTTATGTGAAATTCCTGCTCGTGGTTTTAAAGGGAATCGATTTCACTACTGCACATCTGTTTTTTTTGTTCCAGTGAGCTTAAGCAACTGGTAGCCCTGCAAATGGCTCTGGGTCAAAACCCTACCGCCTTACCCCCCCCCCCAAGACCTTTTTGAACATGGAGCGGACAAAAGGGACACAAAAGGGGGCGTAACCGACAACAGAAAGGTATTTGGGTTTTGACCCGCACACAAATCATAGAAACCAGCCGATGTTGACCCAAGATGAACATCAATTTTCTGGGTGATTTTGCGGCAATTAAGCATGCTATAAAGAAACTTAGTCGTGGGGTGCCAAAATGGGATTCTGCGGAAGGATTTGGTTAGGGCGCGGAAGCTTGTGGAAGCTTCTGCGGAGCACATTGCAAGCTTTGTTGCCGCGGAAGCCCGCGGACAGAGGGCAAACAAAATGAACCATTTATTTGGCTCAAACACATTTTTTGTCCGGGTTCTTGGAGAACCACAGCCAATTTGTTTGGGCCAAACAAATCGTGTTTACACTCCAATAAACTAAAACCAAACCAGGGAAGAATCGATCCCTTGCGTCTAAAAGCACTGTGGATCAGAACTACATCCGCATTACACCCTGCCTCACTCCGGCCCTTTGACCAAGACGAGCGCTAGCCTCACATTCCCCATCCTCCTTGGTGAAGTCGGAAAAACCAACCGCGATTTGTTTGGCACAAACAAATTCGCCAGGTTCTTGCCCTGACCCTGACTGCGCCAAAAGCAAGCCAACAACACACAGACAATCTAGCACAATTTGTTTGGCCCAAAAAAAGGTTTCCAGCCTGACTGAGTTTGGCAAGCAAAATGAAGAATAAACACGATTTATTTGGCTCTGACATGTGTTTTCGCAATGCAGCTTTTTGACCCACAATAACGCTCAGAAACGACAGGCTTTCAGCAAATCGCGCAAACAACCCCAGCAAAGCCCAACAGAAATCCCACAGAGACCATGCGCGGAAGCTGCGGAAGCAAAGTACTTTTGCGGAAGCAAACACCCGCGCTGCGGGCTTCCGCCACCGGAAGATGCGCGGACACTAGTCCCGTATTATGAACTTTGGTCCTGGTATTTTTGGTCACCGCTCTCCTGGGGTGTCCAATTTCTTTTTGGGATTCAGACAACTTTTTGGAGGGAACACCCCACGAACAATAGGACGGGTTTGTTGTTTCTAGGGTCAAAATTAGCCTGGTGGGGCAAAACCCACAGTTCCCATCCCCGAGTTGGTTTTTGGTGTCAAACATGCGTATGCTGTGGCCACAAATTCCATCAGGATCCTTGAAATACAGTTTCTACCGGAGTTTTGCCAAATATCCAACAAAGACAAGGACTTCCAGTGGAAATTCCTTTGGTTTTCCTTTGGGCAGATGAACGCTACTCCCCATGATCTTCAGTCACTTTTTTGCAAGATCACTTTGGTGTAAAGAAAAAGTGTTGCGCCAATGGTTGGTTCTTCATTATTATTTCTTCCCTTTTTGGATGTGTCATCGCACTGGATCCCAAGAAAAGGACCTGGATCACGGCTTGCGCTCCATTTAGCCCCATGTGAGCTTGAATAAAAATTGACGGATTGTGTGGATCTAAACCCATGGGAATCCGGTTAGGAAAAGCCTGAAATCTATATGGACCCCTTCCCCTCACCGACAAACCAACCAAAGAAAGGCTCCCCCCGCTCCCCTGCACCCCAAACGCACACATCAAAGAAAAACATTTGTAGCTGGGATCAGGTTTGCTCCGCAATCAATAGAATATTGGCGCCGGTTTGGTGTCGTTTCAAGGCTCAAATGCTCTTTGGGTGGTCCAAATCCAAACCACCAAGTAGTAGTGACTGGGCTCATCCCTGATACTGTGGGACGAATCCTGCACCAGTCGGAACGGATGAAACCCTATAAATGGGACAACCTACCACCTGGTGCAGGATATTGTCTATCCACGCAGCGAAACTGATAGGAATCAAGAATCCCAACCTATAGAAAAGAGATGCTGAAACAACATGAAAACGGAACCAACCTTTTCCTTGTGCGAGCTCCCAAGAGCGAAAAACATGAAAATATAAGTGCAATCTGCTCTCCTGAAAAAACAAGTTCCTACTTCAAGGGGTTGATTCCCCATTCTTTTCAAGCATCATTCTTTTAAAATACCGTCTGTTTCCTTGGGTTTTTGAGGATTTCCTGAAAAGATCCGGATCCTTGGAAAGACTGGACATGGAAGGTACCCCTAGAGAACTTCAAGGGGGCCCTTTGGGGCTCCTTTGGGTGCCTCGAGGCATTGCCGCCTGACTTGGCCGCTGCGGTGCAGAAGCTGAGTCAGGCGCGCGCACCCAACGACAAGCCCCCGGAGACCGAAACGACGGCGAGTTCTTTTGTTTACGACGGCGTTGGTCCGATGATGTTTTAGTTTTGTTTCCTTATTTTTCTTTTTTTGTCTAACAGTGTGATTTAAAGCAATCAGAATAGTCGTGTTGGTTCCGCTCATTTTTAGTGGGCGGAAGCAACACAGCTTGTTGCTTGCTTGCCAAGGATTGTGTTTCACAGGCTGGTGGACACAGTCTGCGGACAACCGTTCACTACTGCTTGAGGTGTTGATTAGTTTCTTTGGTTTGTACAGGGTATCCGTTTGCGACTGTTTTCAAAGGGACATGAAGGGAAAACAAGCACCTTGTTCTCCAGGCTTGGGTCATTTGGACATCAGGGGATGTTTGCTGTGTGGTGGGACAAATAAGGACGTTTCGCCAGATGTCCAGTCTCATGTTTGGGTGACTTCGGCCATTCTAAAAGAGTTTGCTTTTGAAGCAATGTTCAGACGTAACACCAGCTTGAAGTTGCCAGGCTTAACTTCCCTTTCCAATCCAGCTTGTGCTCAGTTGTTTGTTTCTTGAGGATCATGTTTTCCAAGGCTGAGTTCCCAAGAACGGCATAGGGCAAACCCTCCAAGAATGACCCTGGACCACTCGCCTTGCCCATTCCAGTGGCTTGGCCCGTTTTTTTTTTTTTGGAAGGTGTGGCGCGCTCGGTTTACTGACTTGGTGACTTGAGCAGCTCCCAAAACCCGATTTCAGGATCAGTTTCTTCAGGGGAAGCTCCGTGCAAGTAATCGACTCGTCAAACGAATCAGCCACTTTGGTGGCACAGAGAGGGTGTTTGTTCACCCCAAACTTCCGAATCAACACTGCCAACGTTTGGTACCATCTTAAACTTAATATGCTAGTGGTCCAAAACACCCATAAATCCTACCAGGACCTCCCAACGTGGTTTGTTTCCTAACCTTCGGCAGGGGGCTATGTGTGTGCCATTCGACAGAAATCCATTGGGGGTTTCTCCCAGAGAGCCTGGCTCGCCAGGTGGACGTTTCCGCAATGCCTGCGTGGATTGCGGGCGGAAAAGGGCGGCAAAGCGGAAGCGGCTCGCAGCTTGTGTCGCTGGACTTAGCGTGTCAATTGGAACCTGAAACGTAAGTGTGGTTGCCCAAGCTGCCACTTTCCAAAGTAGGTCGATTCATAGGAAGTGGTCGTTTGGAAAGAGCCACCAGTTGTAATTAATCGAATGGCTGTTTCAGCTCGCTTTTCAGGTCGCAAGTTGCCATGCGTTTCCATGGCAGGTCTTTTCCCCGCTTTGAAGTGATCAAGTCATGGGATGGGCTCAGGGTAGAGAAAGTTCTCACGTTTCCATCACTTGCCAAGTTTGCAAGGTCTGGGTTCTGGTCCTGCCAATCGAATCCCCTTTGAACTAGTCAAGGAGTCGGTTGCAACCCTTGGGCGGGCCGCGGCCTTTTTTTTTGGGGGGGGGGCAGTCGGGTGGGGGCAGTGTGGGTCAAAACCGTTTTGGGATCCCATTTTGGTTGGTAGGTGAATTCACCACCCATTTTAGAACCTATTTTAGTGGTCGGATTGAATCGGATGTTCACTGGGGGCCAGCCGATTCGGATTTTGCCCCATGGCCCTCGGACATCGATTCGCGCAAGGCCTTGAAGGGCCGATGGCAAGCGGGGCTCTTTCTTCAAGCTCCCTGCGGCCAGGCGAGGAATCTCGGAAGGAGACACCCCCGGCTCAGTTGTTCAGTGGCTCCCTTTTTCCCCTTTTTTTTGGTGGCTGCCCCTACTAAAATGGTCTTCCCAAAGAAGGGTTCCCTTTTTTTTCCAGGGTCACTGAACAACTGAGCCGGCTTAGGGCAATGAATTGGGCGTGTTCGGTAGGGGTTTTTGGAGGTATTCGATGCTTTGCCCCGATGGCAAGAAAGTATGTGCTCTTTATATAAGTGGTGTGGTATACCTTGCTTGTTTTTGGAGGGGGGAAGCGTTTGAACTCAACAACCACAAGGAGTTGAAATAACGGTGCTCGTTTTTCCCCCGTTAGAATCCACAGATGTGGAACAAGCCAAAAGCGGCAATGCCCCCATTCCTCAAATAGTCTTGTCCTGGAGGAGACCCCAGACACAGCCATGGGGCCATGGAGCCACCATGGGTTTGCCTTTTCGGGGATGGTTTCAAGGGAAACCGAGAGTGAATACGATTTGCTTTTGTCGTGAGCGGGTCCCTAAAGAAAGACACACCCATAAAGAGTACTTTAAGAGGCATTGTACTGGGGAAGTGAATAGTAAGCCCGGTTATACCCACCTACCATCGTGAGAAGCATCCTAAGTGGATAGAACCAAGCTTACTGACCACGTACTAAGTACCAATACCCTCGGATCCCGCTCGTTGGCTGGAAGTTCTCGGCGATCGCGATCTAACGAGACTTCCGATCGGGGGTCCCATGGCTTTTGGGTGACGTGCTTTCTTGGTGTTCCCTTTGAAGCCTAAACAAAGGGCTTCCTGTACTCAAAGGGTCATGCCAGGAGCGAAGTCGCGAGGATGTTGTCATGATCATGACTGAATTAGTTCTGCAGCTACCCTACTAACCTGTTCTGAGTATTCGGGTGTGTCTCCAGATAGGGGAACTTCCTGTAATCGATAGGTGCGCGTTTGAAGCCCTTGAAACAACCTTTCTGCACCCCTTTTTGGTGGCCCAAGTTGTTGTGGTTTCAAACATCACCTTTTGGGCGGGGGCGAGTCTTTTTTGGTCAGTGGTCGGACCTGGAAAGAGGAATCGGATCGAATCGGAGTCCTTTTGGGGCACCCAATCATGGTTGTTGTTGGGAAGCATTTTTCACATTTTTGCTTATTGTAGTTTGGTGGTTGAAATCCAACCACTCCACTGCTAAGATTTAGATTTTTTTGCTCCCTTTCCAACGTCAACCAACCAAAAGAAGCAAAAAAAAACGCGCAAAGAAGCGAACATCGCTCTAGAATCCGCCAAAATGCGCTGAATGATTTGAGGGAATGCTGATACCAAACAGAACGACGAATACTTAACAAATAATCGGCCAAAATGCCAAAATGTCTCAACTGCAAATACCAAACGGAGGGGTATGTATTTTAGGGTGATGTTTTTTCCGTTTTTTTTTCTTCTTTTTTTTCTCGCTTTTGGCTTCTTGGCTTCTTGGCTTCTTGGCTTTTTGGCTTCTCAGCTTCTGGGCTTTTTGGCTTCTTGGCTTTGGCCTTTCGCATCCTCTTCATTCCCAGTTCCTCTTCGGCAGGTGGCATTTTGGCTTTTGCGGCTTTTCGCTGGTTTATGCAACTTTAGGCGGCTTTAGCTTTTTGCATCCTCTGCTTTCCCAGTTCCTGTCCGGGCTTTTTGGCTTTTGCACCCTTTCATTTGTTTTTGGATGTGGCTTCCCGCATCATCAGCATCACCAGTTCCTCCCTATTTTAATCATCACTTCTTCGAACATCATGGGGGGGAAGCCCCCCCCCCCCGCAACCCACCCGCTACTGTTTAGATTGCTTGCAGAGTAGTTGCACCCCTTTTTGAATCAACACTTCTTCAAACATCATGGGGGGGCTGCCGCCTCCCCCCCGCTACTTTTTGGATTTATCTTGCAGAGAATAAATAGCATCCCTAGTTCAATCATCACTTTTCGAGCGTCCAATTTCGCGAGAAAATGCTGCAAAATACGACATTTTAGGTATTATGTGTAATCCATGTATGTCTGTATGTATGTACTTCTTCGAACATCATAGGGGAAGCCACCCCCGCCAACCCTCCCGCTGCCTTTTAAATTCTATCGTACCCTTGCTTGAATCATTGCACCCCTAATTGAATCATCACTTCTTCCGACATCATGGGGGGGGCTGCCGCGCACCCCAACCCCCCCGCTACGTTTTAGATTTTCTACAGAGATTTATTTAATTGCACCCCTAGTTGAATCATCAATTCTTCGAACATCATGGCATGGGGGGGGGGGCTGCCGCCCCCCCCAACCCCCCCGCTACTTTTTAGACTTTTTGCAAAGATTTAATTGCACCCCTATTCAAATCATCGCTTCTGCAACAACATCATGGGAGGGGCTGCCGCCCCCCCAACCCCCCGGCTACTTTTTAGTGTTTTTGTTCTTCTTCTTTTACAGGGATTGAAATGCCCTCCTATTTGAATCATCTTTTTTTTGACCCCGTCAACCCGCCAGCTACTTTTTGGATTTTGTTACCCACGATTTGTTGGTGATGCTAGGGATGTTGGTCGGACATGCGGGGGATGTTGAAAACCATGCTGGGCGTGTTGACGGGCTTGTGTAAAATGCATCAATTTCGCGAGAAAATGCTGTAAAATACGACATTTTTCTGGCCCGGACGAAAAACGAAAAGGAAAAACAAAAAGAAGGAAAAACAGAAACGAAAAAACATTTCAACATAAATCCGCACCCATACCAAACAGCCAACAGAAAGACAAATGGGATCTGGGGTGCAGGCTTTTTTTGGGCAGAATCGCCGGGATGTTCATGCTTTTTTGGGGCATACGCCTCAAGGTTTCTATTTTTGTTGATACCTGTTTGTTTGTTTGATCCACCTGGAATATTTGTTTTAATCCTTGTCCTTGATATCCTGTTTAATCCACCTGGAACATCCTTATCTTTGTTTGTTTGTTGTTTGTTGTTTGTTGTTTGAACCAGCTGTTTGTTTGTTGTTTTAATCCTTGTTTGTTGTTTCTTGACCCGGTACCCCGTTTTTGGGCGGGGATTTGCAGGTGTCCTTCAAGCTGCAGGTGGCCAACAAGAGCATGCCTCTGCCTCTGGTTTCGATTTCGCCCGATGCCTCACGTGTTTTGATTGGCTGGTGGAGATGGGAAGGAGCGCTGCTTAGCCCCGGGACTCGGCAGAGGCTTGATGTCCAGAGCCCGTGAGCCTACAATGAGCAAGAAGCGTAATTGAATGCTGGGTGTGGTTGATCACACGGGGTTTATCCAACCACTTCTGTGATACCAGGGAATCTCTCCCCCTTTATGTGGGAAGTCACAGAAGTGGGCATTTCCCACAGCCCTGTACTTGAATGCTGGGTGTGGGGTTGAACATTGCTTTTAGACATTGGTCAACAACTTGGGATTTCCTGTGACGGGAGACCACACTACGTTTGTGTTGCGGATGTCGCAACCCTGAGCCACCTCGGGACGCCCTGAACACCTGTTACCAGTTCTTTGAGTCCCTAGGTCGATTCCTGAAGTACCGGGATCAATTTAACTCTGAGTCGGACAGCCGCTTATGCCTATCTCCCAACGGCCTGTCCCGAAACCTTATTTGGCCTTGTTCGATAATCATGGCGGGCAGTTTGTGGGAGCCTTTACGGTCCCTGAAGTTTCGGACTCAACGGCTTGCTGATCGGACTGGGCAGCGGGCCAAGTTTGACGATGGCTCAAGCAAGCCATGCTTCCATGAGCAACACGCAGTGAGCCGAATCGGTCAGGACTCAGTCTATGTTCTATCGAGCTTCTCCTTAACCTAGGTCTAGGCTTTGGTTGTGTTCTTCCCCTGCCCCCTTTCTGGGGTCCAAAGGATTAGCTTCTCTCGAGGCGATGACCTTGCACAAATTTGCCAACTCACCAGATTTGCTAAAACTGATCCTGATGGGGTCTGTGTTCCCAGGTCTTCTAGATTTTGTTAAGAAAACATCTGAAGGGAAGGTAAAACTTTAGGTGATGCTGTGGAACATGGTTTTTGCTCTTTGCCCCCCCTTTCGGGGCCAAAAGGACTTCCTCAAAGTGCAGACCTCGAACAAGGGATATCATTTCACCATATCTCCTCGCCGCAAGCCTTCTTTGCTCCCCTGAGACGATTACATAAATACACTACCAAGGAGTACATACATTGCCGTAAACCATGTTGTGCTTAACACCGCCCCCTTTGACCCCGCTGGGGGGCGGGCAACTGACAGACCTTGACCGCTTCCGCTCATGGCACCGTCTGTGGCTCCTGCTGAGCCGGCGGTGCTGATCTGTCCCATCACCCATGTGATGTTCCGGGACCCCGTCTTCGTGCCCGAGCGCCTCGATGGACATGGATTAAACATGTGGTCCCATGGTGGCTTAATTTTGACCCACAGCCATGCATTATATATATATATATATAATATGTAATATATACCCAGTGCTTCCAGTTACCTCCACGTGCGGAACCAGCTTAGTTACCTGCCATATTGGTAACTGACCGCTGGTTCCAGGAACCACAAAAAAGGGCCCGGAACCGTGAAATTGGGGCCCGGAACCGTTCAAAAATGGCCCGGAACCGTGAAAAAGAGGCCCGGAACCGTGAAAAAGAGGCCCGTTAAACCGTTAGACAGGAATCTGGTTCCCACTTTTTTGGGAACCAAGCCTGGTTCCCCAAAAAACAGTCGCCAACGGCCAGTTACTAGCTATACAGGTTACTAGGAGCCGCTGGCCCATGGGATATATATATATATACATACATACACGTATAAGTTGACGACCTGCAAAAGTATCGCCTTTCAGATCTACCTCATACCAAAATGATGAAGAATATTACGTTGGCCATTGAACCCATCAAAATCTCGCTGGTGCATACCCTTTACATGTGGATGTGTCAAAATAGGGTGAGGTTTGAAAGGGTACAGCCTCAAACCCGCCCCAAATTGGGGGCAAATTCACAATCGCTGGCACTAACTGGCTGGCTGGGTTGTGCTAAAACGGGCAACCCCTGCTCTTCCCCCCCCCCAAAACCAGCCAGCTAAGGGCACAAATGTCAGGGTTATGGAACGTGTTCCTTTCCGTGATACCGAATTCGGTATTCCTTTCACCACTGTGGCACTTGCAGGAGGCACAGCACAATCCTTGGTTTGTGCCTTTTCAGAGTTTGGCAGATCAATTGGCAATCTGGAACCCCCCAAAATGGCTGGTTAGCTCTTGAAGTTCCCTTTCAACCAGCCCCAAAAAGGAAATGAAAACAGAGGGCATCCAAATATTTATACATGTTCCTGTGGTACAAGCACCCCCCCCCGTGAGTCTACTTTTTCGTGGGATGTCTTGTGAACCTCGATGGCCGGCTTCCCTTTCGGAGACCCCCAAAAGGGATAAACGTTAAGGGCGAGGCACGGCCAGATTTTGTCGATCGAGGCTCCCGCCCATGAGTCATAATTGTCTGTAAAAGCGGTTTGGATGTGCTTTATGTGTGGATTCCACCTGTTCTTCATTTCTTCCCCCTGTTGCTCCTTGTTTTATCCACGACTAGACCCATCGCAGCGCTCTCCAGACTCAAACGTCTCACTCCAATGTTCACCAACTTGAAGCTTTGTGGAGCTTCAACTTCAGCGTGTTTGTCTCCTCATGTGGGGCGGTTTGCTGGTCCCAACCTCCCAACCCCCCCCCCTCACCGACCCAAAGCGCGGGCCGGAGCCGAGGAGCGGCAACACCTACGAGCGCTCGGCGCTCGAGATCTTCTGGAACTCCTGCAAGGCCCTTCGAACTGGAGCCGGACGAGTCGCGCGACCGCTCGGTTCCCCCTTTTCGCACGCGTTGTTTTTTTTTTTTTTTTTTTTGTTTTGTTTGTTGTTGTTGTTGTTGTTGTTGTTGTTGTTGTTGTTGTTGTTGTTGTTGTTGTTGTTGTTGTTGTTGTTGTTGTTGTTGTTGTTGTTGTTGTTGTTGTTGTTGTTGTTGTTGTTGTTGTTGTTGTTGTTGTTGTTGTTGTTGTTGTTGTTGTTGTTGTTGTTGTTGTTGTTGTTGTTGTTGTTGTTGTTGTTGTTGTTGTTGTTGTTGTTGTTGTTGTTGTTGTTGTTGTTGCTGTTGTTGTTGTTGTTGTTGTTGTTGTTGTTGTTGTTGTTGTTGTTGTTGTTGTTGTTGTTGTTGTTGTTGTTGTTGTTGTTGTTGTTGTTGTTGTTGTTGTTGTTGTTGTTGTTGTTGTTGTTGTTGTTGTTGTTCTTTTTTTTTGCCCACGCTTTTGGCGGGTGTTTTGTTACCCCGTTCTTAGGGCAGTTTGCATGGAAATGCACCAAAAAGGGGGCCCTGAGGTGAAACTTTGCCACGCGGTTGGTGAGTTTTTGACCCCGAGGGTCCGGAAATGGAGTTACAAACTTGGTGCGTTTGACATCCTTAAAGCAACTGAGGGTGTGGCACATGTAGCGAGCTTCACCCTGAGGGCAGACGGAAAGTACGGGGCACATCCGCTTTATGTGGGTAAGTAAATGGGATCACCCAACCACAGCGAGGGAATTGTGCCATCTACTTTGACTCAACTGTAGTTCTTGAGTTCTCTTCCTTGTTAGTGCCGGGCAAGAGCAAAGTGTTTGCTACCATACCTGGATGCGAACCTTCGTGGGGGTACAACATGAGTTTAACATTGAAGGGACTCCAAGGACAAAGACCGTTTGGTGGGGGTCCCCCCTATTTTGACACATGCCACTACTAGGTCCCCCAGTGCCCTTTTACCGTTTCTTTTTGGGGGGAGGGTTCCCCTACTAAGATAGACTTCAGAAAAAAGAAGAAAAACACGGGTACCCTTTTTCTAACCTCTCAAATCTGGAGGACCTAGACTACAACCACAAGAAAGTGGGTTGGAGAACCAGCAAAAACCAAGGGGATTGAGCCGGAGGTTTGAGCTACGGGCTGAGTTCTGGCTGGCAGCGTTCTTCATCATGCTGATCAACGCTCGGAAAACTTAAACACTTGTTTTTGGCCAGGAAGCTCAACAAGTCAGTAGCCGTTGGTGTTGATGTTGCTATTCAGTTTGCAAAATGTGACTGCAACTGGCATGTTCAATTGGGTTTGCGCCAGGTTTCGGGGTTGGTGAATCACTGCAGTTCGCCCTGAAATACTTTCCTGCAGGCAAACCTAGAAGCACAATGTCTTTGGAGGAATCCCATGTTTCGGGACCCGATTTAGGTAGCAGGCGAATATCTCACTTTCCCGTGTCTGGACACAGCCAAACCTGTTTGGGGGTGTCTTTCTTTGGGTGACCCTCAAAATGGTGCAACGCGTTTATTTTTTCCCCAACTGCTGAAAGCTTTGGGGTCTCAGCCCAGATAGGCTGCGGGGTGGTCCGGGGCGGCCCTGAGGTAAGGTTCCACGAGGGTTCCATGAGGGCCCCTAGTTATTTAATCATAGTAAACGATGGCATCATCATCGGTATCAGCTTAACTACGGCATTAACTTTGAAAACATCAACTGAACCGCCCTAGACAACTATAGCTTTGTCGGAAACTGTCTGCCAGAGGGCAGGAAGCAACCAGATTAAAAAATCAGGTCATGAAACAAATTCCTGACTGGAAAAACAAGGCTCCCATCATTTTGTCATGTGAGGTTCTGTCAGAAAGAAGTGGGGTTCTACATAATTTTGTCGAGAGTCTTGATTTCTGGCCTTTGTGTGCCAGGTCTTCACTTGACTGGAACCTCCTCAGAAAGCAAACAACAGCTTCAAACATTGACCAAACCTGGACACCAATCTGACCATACTGTGTACAGCCAAATTCCTGCACCACAGCCATGGAATGATGATTCGCCAGCAACTACCAACAAACCATGGTTTCAACTCCATGGTTTGAAATCGTGGTGCGATGTCTGGATTTCTCGAGAACCATCCACAGCTAGGTCCCCCAGTGGTGCCCTTTTACCTCTTTGTTGGGGAGGGTTCCCCTACTAATACAGACTGCAGGGGGAAAAAGAAAAACGGGTACCCTTATTCTATCCTCTACTGGACGACCTAGGTGATTTCCTTCCTTCTCTTCCTATGGTTGTCAAGGGCCGTTCACCAATCCCAGGGGCTCATCGCGGGTTCGGGTGCCTTTTGGGAAGTCCAACTCCTTTGCTTAAAGGTGTGCTGTGCAGGGGACCCGTTGGGCCAACTCGTTCGCCAGGTGCCCAAGGACCCCTTGACGAACCTGGAGCTGGGCAGCGAGATGGTCTACACCAACTGGGGCCTGCGTCGGGAAGTGCAGCGCGGGGGCCCAACGCGGGGAGTGGAGTCCGTGGCAGACCAACACCGATGTTGCCCCCCCCCCCCCTTTGTGGGGCCCGGGGTATGGTAAGGGCTGGAAGTTGAGAAGGATCTTAGCACCAGCAATCCATGGCTTTGCAGCAAGGGGGAGCCTGGGGAGATGGAAGATTGGGACGGCCCCAGCCAGAACTAGGTGCAAACATCCTGGCTTTGAGGCTTGACATGTTTTTGGTAGCTCCCTTTGGTACCAGGTTTTAATTTTGAGATGGCTTTCTGTCCCCTTCGAGGGTAGTGTTGAAACTACCCTTTTCGGGAATTCATGGAACACCGCAATTTTAGTTGCATTCCCACAGTTATATACTTAACTCATAGTTTACTTCTATAGTTCCGACGGAAGTTTTGCAGTATATACCCCAAGATTCCTTCAATCATGGAAGCTGACAGGGTCTAGGCAGCGATGTTTCGTTGGGGGTTTGGCCTCCTTTCCACGTTCCTGATTGGACAGGCCTGATGTCACTTTGGGGGTTGGCCCCCTTTCCAATTTTGGTGAAGCCCCCTTACCCTTTCACCTCATATCAGTATGATGATTTAGGCCCTTACATTCCCGATCTGTAATTGGAGGTCCTCCAGAGTGCCCTTGCACCCTTTTTGGGGGGGAGGGTTCCCCAGTACTAGTACCCTTTTGGGGGGGAGGGTTCCCTTACTTAAATAGTACCACAGAAAAAGTGGGTACCCTTATTCTAACCTCTCAATTCTGGAGGACCTAGTTGAAGCATGGTTGGATCGACCATTTTAATCCCGACGGGTTTTGATTCTGAGCCTCACTTGCGGCGCTCCCTTTTTGGCGGTGTTCGGCTCGCACGGTTGGCATAGGAGTCCTTTTTAGGTGAGCCTGGTTAAAAATAGATGGCACTGGTTTAGATGGGTTTTGTTCCATTTACCAGGGCCACCTATTTTTCCAAACGGCCACCGATGCCTGTTGGTTTCAGGAGCTTCTTGGACCAGCACCCCGTGTACCTGCCGCAGGGCTGGGAGGCGCGGTGGGTTTTCGTCTTCGTCTCAGGCCCTTTTGCCTTGGTGGCTCCCAGCCGTCCGGTTCCTTAGCTTCTTAGATCTTTTTAGTGTTTGGTGGTAGTTTCCATTTAACCCGCTGAAAGTTAGACTTTTAGCTGGGGATCAGAAATCGGGCAGCCCAATTCCCTTCGGCTTCTGGTTCAAACTACCCAAAAGAGGTACCCAACTATTGAAGCCTGCTTTCATGGGCGCAAGGTTCAGGTTGGTTTGACGGGAATCCGGGAAACCAAGATCAATGCCGGTATTTTTCGAGTTATGAGACATGTCTGAATAGCGCATTGTTTTTGGCTGCTCTCTTTGGCCACATGGGTCATGTGCGGTAAAGCGAAGAACTAGTCTCCAGAGGCCACCTAGTGGCACAGTGTTTGCAATTCCTAGCATGCCCAATACAAATAGGTTATCTCAACCTTTGATCCCCCAAATCGGCATGGGTTTTGCTAAGCCAAAAGGGACCCTTCAACATGTTTTGGGTTCAAATTGATTCCCCTGAAAGAAGTTCGGCGACAAATAGGGATTCCTGGCTTTTCAGGCGGTTTTAACCGAACTCACCAGAGACCACCCCCCTGTCAAGGCTCCTGTTTAAGAGTTTGCTTCTTTGTGGCGGCTTCAACAAGTCTCAACCTGCCCAAAATGAGTGTCTCTTTAAGTTTCCCGTTGCACAATAGAAGGGCATACCTCTTGCCAAAAAAGCACAGCCTCAAACTGCTTGTCCCAGGCCTGCAAGCGGTGCCCTGTGAGTTTCGGCTTGGAGTTTCCCTTTCGGCCACTACAGCGAGTCAATAGTTACGGTCACAGTGAAGGGAATGACATTGGATACAACTAAGAACGACCATCATACACAGTACCATGCCACCTACTGGTCTAAGATGGCTTTCGGGGGAAGCGCGGGAGAAGCCCGGGGAGTGGCTATGCATGCCATTGATTCCTTTTGGCGGGTACTGGTTTGGGGCTAGAAACCGTCTCTGACCATGATGCCATGGCTCAATTTAGACCAATCCAATCAGCTCATGGATTGAAATACCCTCCTGTCCAACATGGAACCCACCACAGAATGCCTTTTAAAGGAAAACTGTCCAAGCCGGGACAAGAAGTTTTTGGCTCCAGGTGAGTGCATGGGAGGGTGCTCTAGGGGCAACGTCCATTTCCAGTCTGAACCCCGGGATCCGAATCTTTCTAGAAAACCACCAGAAAACCCTGGGGAAATGAATCTGGTTTTTGAAAAGAACGATGGCTGAAAAGAATAGGGAATCAACCCCTAGAGGTACGTGACAATGCTTGTCCAATTGCAAAGAAAACCATCTTGGAAAGGACCGCCGCGCCACGGTTGCCCCGCCCATCCGCTTGGTCAGAATGTCCGGTCTGCTCGGTTGAAATTATCCCTCGAATCCACGGATCACATAAAAAACATCAAATATCCACAAAGGGTATAATTCTACCCTCAATGCTTCCCTTCCAATGGGAAACACATCGTGCGACCAGAGGGAAGCTGAAAAAGCATTGGCATCCCCGTTTTGGTGGGTGCAGTGATTCCATTTGCTTGAATACTAGGCAACCAAGGAAACCACCCTTTAAAACCAAAAGGGACATAGCGCTGAAATCCCCCAACAACCAAACAGATAGAATACACTCCTACAAATTAACATGGAACCCGAACAACCACATTTTTTGAAACCAGAATCTGCTTTTTCGGGTTCCAGAACCCCGTGAACTTGTAGTCGAAAACCCTCCTGTTCACCCTCCATATTGGAGGGTTCTGTTGTGAGCAGGTCTCCCAGTAGTGCCCTTTTGCCGTTTCTTTTTTGGGGGAGGGTTCCCCTACTAAAGTAGACAGCAAAAAGCGACGGGTACCAAATGATTCTAACCTCTCAAATCTGCAGGTTGCAAGAACTGAGCTTCGCCTTTTTTTTAGATGGGTTGTTTCTGGCAAAATCTACCCCACATATGGTCCCTTGCTACGGATGGTACCGGGGATCCATCCTACCGGAGCCCGTCGGACTGAGACTCGCAGGCGCGGGCGCTGCCCTCGGCCACGGAGCCGCGGAAGTTGGAGCGCAAGGCGTCGTGGCGGCGCCCTGGCGAAGCGAAATGGAGCCGAGCGCGCCGGCCGGTCTCGGTCCCTTTTTCTTCTTAAGAATATGTGTCAGCCACCAACGGAACCACCCGGAAAAAAAGGCAGAATGTTGACCCCGGATTTGCGGCAACCGCATTTTTTTTGTTTCCTCCGGTCAGTTTGCTGAAATGAGTATGTTTAGTTTTGCCCTGTTGGTTTTAAAGGGAATCTAGCACTGTTGGATATATATGTTCTCACATTTTCCAGGGGTGTTAAGCAAATGGAAGTTTTAGGTCAGTTTGGTTAGGCATAGATGGTACTGGTTTAGATTGAATTTGTTTCATTTATCAGCAGCATCTGTTTTACCAAAAGAATATCTATTGTGCCAAAGGGAGAAATCGGAAGGATCATAAACCTATGCGAGGAGAGGGGAACCCAGGGATTTTCTGGGGCTTTTATTGCGAAGCCCGCCGGAAAATGTGTCTCTTAAGCCTATGAAGGGGAAACCCGCCGGCTTGCACAGGAATAACGGGAAAACCTCTATGTTGGAAACCGCTAAACCTATGTTGTAAGAGAGACCCTCCAAACAATGTTTAGAGGGAAACGCGAACCCAAAGACAACGGCTGGAACATGACATTTTGCCATGTTTGTGGGAGGAGCAGAGGAACTGTGTAAAAGGGAAAAAGGAAAGCCACTATTTTGGAAGTCTCAACTGGGGTTGAAGTGGTTAATTTCCAGGAAGCGGTTTTCAATGAATCACTGTTGGGCTGGGAAACGCTAGTAGCAATAAGCACAGTTTCGAGGCTTATTTCAAGGATTCCTCTTCCACTAGAATCACCTTGTACTCTTGGGGCAATCTTCGATTGTTCACGTGTTTCCCTTGAAAGACAACATGCCCACGGGCGTGTCTTTGGAGTCGCTGGCCCTTATTTGGATAGTTTTAACGGGAAACCAAAGGAATTCCGGCATGGTGGGGTCCAGCGGGATGTCCCCCACTTACCTCTTAAAAACACAACGTTTCAACTTTTTGGGTAACATGGGCTATATGTCTGTAAAAGATTAACTTCCCCAGGGCTTAGAGTTTTAAGGGGTAAGCCTAAAAAGGACACCACAGACACATCTAGGGCTTACAAGTTTTCTCCATCAAGCCTGTGAGCGAGAAAGAGCGATTCGGTCGGGAGGTTCTTTCCCGCAAGGGCCCAGGGCGGTTATTCGATGTTCGCTGAACACAAGCACGTTGTGCAGATTCAATTGCTGAATGTATGCGATGTCCCACACTTAAGCCAGAATAAAAGGAGCATTCGGCTTTTGAAAGATGTTTGAATGGGTATGTCTTGTTTGTTGTTGGTGCGCCTTTTGGTGGGTGGAAAGCAAAAGGACAACCCGCCAATTTTGTGGGTCCACATAAAGACGCCCAAATCAACGCGGGTCCCTACCTTCGGATGTGCTTGGGCCACAAAAACGTCCACATGCAGCACAAGGTGCTGCCCTGAAGTTGTCCCTTTTTTTTGGATGGCTGCAGGGAAACGGGCGCGCTCTTTTTTTTTTGCATAGCCTTTTTGCAAATGGTTTAAAAGGAAGCAGAAAGAAAACTCGCTGGGCGGATTGGGAGCAACCCTGTTTTGGAAAGCTGGTGGGTTCTTGGTTGTCTGAATGCTGCAAAACCCGAGGCACACACACACACACTCCAACACACAGCAGAGCAAGAGCAAGACCTTGCCTGTGCGACTGCTTAGGCGGCCAGTTCTCTTAGCAGCGAGCATCCTCTGCTCAGTGGTGATCGTCATGGCGCCTTGCCCAAGAGGTGATTTGGGGGGGGAGTTGGAGAGGGAGGGCCCCTGACCCCTTTTTCTGAAACCTCGCTTGACACTACTTGACAGTACATCTCAGATTGTAAGGTTGCAAAGTATGGACCACAGTCTGACATGTTCATGTTACTTGGGCAACAGCTGAGGTCCTCAGGTAGTTTTTGGTGGAAGTAACATATCCAAATCTTTCATCGGAGAGTTGAACGGTTTCTTTGAATGTTGAGACTTTGGGGGCCCATTGTGGAGCAAGCTACTGCCGTGTTTGCCGGCGAAGGGCTTGAGCTTGCAAACTTTGAAGTGTCAGACAGGAGTCCCTACATTTTCGTTGTGCTTTAGAACATTGTTCGATGGACCCATTTGAAGTGAGTTTCCTTAGGGTGACGTACAGAAAAACAAACATTGCATGGAGAGTTGCGACCAGAGGCGTGGAGAAACCGAACGGCACTTTGCATTGAACGGTTGGACACATCGGCATGCCCGTCGAACCCTCTTTTGGATGGTTAAAACTAAAGTCCCAGTTGCCCCATGCCACCCTGGTTTTCATTTGGAACGAGTTTCCCTGGAAAAACAAACCGACCAGGTCCCAAGCACTTTGCATGTACTCAAATACCAATCGACCTGGGGGCCTGTTTTGGACGAACGAACAGCACCCAAAACCCCATATAGGCAAGTTAGTAGATTTTGCTGCCTTGCTTCAGGGAGATTACGGCCAATTTGCATGACTATGTTGGTAGAGCCAAGAGTCAATGGGTTTTGGGCGCTTCTCAAACGAGCCACAATCAAACCCGGGTAGATGAAGGTTAGTAAGGGGCAGTCCCAGCCAGAAATAGTTGCGGCCGCCGTCTTAATTCTTTACATGGTTCTGAGTAGACCATTTTAATACAGGGTTTTGATTGTGACTCAAATGGAGATTCAGGCGCTGTTTGCCGCCTTCCTTGCTTGAGGAGCACGTGAGGGCCGAGAGCTTTTGGCATCTTTCGCTGCCGACGGAGGAGCCAGGGGCTCCCCAAAACAGTTGCGTCCTCATGAGCAATTTTATAGTTCACAGGGGGTCCCTATATTTCCCTGTTTGGCTATTTAAAACATCACCTTTTTGGCCCATGAAAGGTGAGTATCCCTTGGTGGGGGTGATGTTTTAAGGGGAAATATAGGGAGCCCTGTTTCAGGTTGAATCGAAATATGAAGCAACATCGGAACATATTGATTTCGTGTTCCCCCGGAGCTGAGTGAAGACGAAGGAATTAAAGTGAACTCAGTTGTACAAGGCCGACCTTTGACCTGTTGATTTTCCAGTGTTTGGTTTATGTTTAGTCAAGGTTCCAACAGGTCAACCTTCTATTTCCACGCCCTTTGGGCAAGTGAATGAGATAATTTGTCAATAGCATTGGTATCACAACGCTTGCTTTAGAGATTGGGCTTGGCGACCCTCCCCAAAAAAAAGTCCTGCAAACCTTCCACTTGCTGAAGCATTGTTTGTCAAGTTCCCCCCTTTGAGTTTGAGGGGAATCTATCACACTAGACATGCGATATTCATTTGGGGACAGCAAACGGAGTGGGCCTAGGTTCTTCCAAAATCGGCCTACGTATCCTCGGCCAGAAACTCGTTCCTCAGACTCTCACCCATCCGAGGCTGGACTCCTCCAACCCTTTGCTACGGGGAGTGATCTCTGAGACACTCAAATTAGCACAGGTTTAGGTACGGGTGTGGCTCGGGTGTGGCTCAACAAAAAGGGGCGTTGTAATTTGCCAGGTTTGAGTCTTTGGTTCGAATTTTCCAAGGTGCCATGTTGGTTCGTCTTTTTGAGCCACAGCCATATGGATCCCGATCAACATGGTAGTACAGACCAATCCCCTTGATTTGGAGACCAAAAAGGAAACTGCCCACTTGACTGTGCTTGTTTTACCTGCAGTAGTTGCCCCCCATCTGAGTGGCAACCAAAAGGTTCCGGCTCCTTCTTTGGCCAGTCCACTCATTTCCGCAAGAGCGCACCATTTTCTCCAGGTTTTCCATGGGGCCGGTCTCCCCTCCGCTCGCATGGCTGGCAGTCTCCGGACTCGGTGCGCAGGAGGTCTCGTTCGAGAACTCCGAGCGGCTGAAAGTGCCCAAGGGCTCCAAGCTCGAAGCGTGGAAGGCTCGATGGGTCGACGGCTCGATGCGTCGATGGGTCGATGCCGATGGGATCCGGCAGGTTCTCGGACCCGTCCTCCAGACACCCAGACACCCAGACACCCAGTGGTGCCCTTTCCCTTTTTTGTTTCCCTTGAAAGTCCATAAACCGGCGCCGACCCCCAAAGCAAGACCAGGTGTTCGGACCAAACGGAATCTGAACGTCGTTGTTTGTTGTGTACAAAGTTGAGCCAAGTCTCTGTGGTTGGAAGATGATAGTCCACTGGGTTCTACAACATATCCAGACCCAGAATCCTGCCCCTGTGAACCCCTTCCGTTGGTAAACAGAATCTCGTGCCAGTTGAGCTTGGGATAAGCTACCCAACTGGTGCTGGTTGTTCTCCATGGCTGGTCGTTGGTATGACCAAATCGCCCACAAGGAACGACCTTTTGCAAACAACCACAGAAAAGTTGGACCATTTGGCTCAGGAGGGAAGAGCGAGCCAAGAAAAGAAGCCCTGAACCCTTTGCAACACTGAGAAGCCCTGGAATGATTCAATTCCCCTTTAAATACCAACCAACGTTATGGTCTCAACTCCATGGTTTCTCTTAGGTGGTGCGATTTCTGGAGAATTCGATTTCAACCATCCACAGCGTGACTGTAAGACTGGGATCTAAGTGGCCAAGCACCTAGGAAAAGGGGAACTACCGCCATATTCTTCTAGGGGAACTAGCCATCCCCAAGCTCCACCGTCTATCAGGGAAACCAACTAGCAGGGATACAGGGGGAACCAGGGATACGGGAGGATTCCCTCTAACCTGGACTAAGTTTGATATGGGAAGTGCGCCAACGGAATCCCACCATATCCCCACTCCCTCTGTATCCCCGCTTGTTCGTTTGTCCAAGTCTAGAAAGCATAACACCGCCGTATTTTCGAGGGGAACTAGCCATCAGTAAGACCGGTCGTCCAACGGCCCCAAGCTCCGCCCGCGCCACCGGCCACTGGCCACTGGCGAGGTGAGTGGCCGCCTGGTGGTGAAGATCCCGGCGTCCGGGTTCCAGGCGAAGCGCTCGCCTCGTTTAAAGACGACCTCCGGAGAAACGGGGGGCGGTTTTTGGCTGTCACTGGACGGACTTCCCTGGTTTTTTGGTTGTTTTTGCGGTTGGAGCTGGGTGGTTGTCTCCCTTCTTTTTGGTTTTGTTTTGCCCTTGCTTCATTTCTGTTGGAGGAGTGGAATTCAGATTTGCCCTTCCTTTGGAAAACAACTGCAGGCCCCTGTTTCCGGGGGACCAACTATATTTCCCCTTGGATGATTTAAACATCACTCGTGCCATGTTCAGATCCAGCGGTTGGCCGTCGTTGCAACATGTTGACCTGGGGTGTTTGGATTCCCCTTCTCCGAAGGATCAAATACTACAGCGTCATACAGTCTGTCGGTGAGTTTGTGGAAAGACGAGCTGAACCCCGCAATTGGTTTGCCGGTTTCATCCTATGTCCCTCCCTCATCAAGAGAGCAACGGGCGTGCCCTTACGCGGACGCTTATGCTTTTGGTGATTGAGGCCAATCTTCCCAAAAGATGCTCAGGAAAGCTCCTTTTAGGTGAGATGAGCTTTTCACTGAGTGCATACAATGCACACAATCAGACCTTAAGGGAAGTTCCAAGTAGTCTTGGGCAGCAAGGAAGGGTTCTTTGCAGGATGAAGTAAAGCTCAAAACGTGCATGAAAGGCCCGCCACGGTGGTTCAAATAAAATAGCGCCGAAATGAGGCTAGGCCAAATGGGAAAGATGAAACAAGCCAAAGCGCCCTTGGGAAGTCTTTGGAGAGGAGACAGGGGGTGTAGCCGTTTTGACACGAACTCAAAAGATGGCACCACTCAAACTTGGCGGGTCCCGAAGGGGTTGACTCCTGGGATTTTGCCTCCGGTTCACCTTCAGCCTTCAGCCATTTTGTTCTTGCTGGGCTTTCCTGAGCCATTTTCCTGGTTCCCGAGCCATTTTACCTTTCAGAACCTCAATTTGGATCGTTCCCGAACCGGAAACCGGCAAAGTTGATCAACCTAAGAGGAAAGTCTCCAAATGCCCCGGTTCGGCGAACTTGTCACTTGTTTTTTTTCCTTTTTCCGGTGACGCGACTTGGCTCCCGTGGCGATCGTTTCCATGGAAATCAGTCAATTCAACCCCCGTTCAGGCAACACCTTGTCATTTTGGGATGGGAGCCCCGCTTGATCCGGTTTTTTTTTGTTTCCGCTGACGTGACCTCTCCAACACCTCACTTGGGACGGGAAACCGTGACGTGATCCGTTTTAGCCTTTAGTGTTTAGTGGTAGTTTCCATTTAACCCACTAAAAGTTAGTCCCTTTCAGCGGGGGATCAGAAATCGTGCAGCCCAGACTTGGTGACGTGACCGCAGCAGGCGGAGAGCTGCGGCCAGCTGGTGATGTCCTCTTTGTGGCTGGGCTTCGTGGGCTACTGGACCGCCACCGCCGTCGCCGCCCGGGCGCCTCGGCCGAAGCTTCGGCCGAAGCTTCGCGGCGCTCAGCACGGGCTCATGGACGTTGTGCTCGGTTGTTCAAGGCGAATCGACCTTTTCACCTTTTGTTTTTTCCCTGTTGGTCCATAAGTCCTGGCCCCAAAAGGTGAACCTGTTAGTTGCAGGTCCTTTGGGCAACTGAGTATACGCTTGGACAAACCGGTTAGTTGAGTGGCAAACAACAGCTCGGCTTTGTCTTGGTCCGTTTCACTTCAGTTGTGTTCATTCTTTGGGTGGTTTGAAACATCAACTTGTTGGCCCCATTTCTGGTGAGATTTTGTTGGGAGTGATGACACCCCAGAGTAATAAGACGGGGGGTTCCCCCCCTCCATAGTCAAAACACTCCTCTGAAAAAACACACAGAACATACTTATGTTACTCTGACGGGGTGAGGAAATCGCCCCCCCTTTCCCACGGAAAAATCCGCGCGACTGAAAGTGTGAGCCGAGCTTCTCATTTGAGGTGCCACTGACCTTCGTGGCCTTCTCGCGCCGTGGAATGAAAGCGTCGCCTGTTTGGGTATCTTTGGGTTGGCGGTGACATGTTTGTTTCTCGAATGGTGTATATATATATATATATATATGGTACCCCCCCCCCCCCATGGACCCTGGTTTTTTGTGAGTCTGACCCGTGTTTTTTCCAGTGGTTTATTAGATGGCTTGTTTCTTTGGTGGACCCCCTGGATCTGGATGATGTATATAATGTACATGTTACATATAGGGGTGTTTCTCGAATGGTGCAGCCCCCTTGGTTTGGATCAATTGAAGGGAAGCCAAAAGGAACCCAATCATGTTAGAGTACCTCTATGTTGAGACACAGCCATTTGAAGCCTTGGTCTTCGTGGAGAAGTACAAGGGACACCGCACCCCCCCCCCCCAACATTTACATAGGTGATTTGGTTGTGGCCCAAGAATGGGGTCCAAAATGGAGCCCTGCTAAATAGAAAGGTCGCCTAAGACCTGCGTACCAGCGGTTCAATTTTGCGCCACACCCATTCCAAGCCTGGAAGAGGGGAGCTGATGGAGGGCTTCGCGAGGTTCCCGTTCTGGGCGGTGGGCTTGTTGCTCTTCGTCAGCACCTTGCTCACCCCCAGCCTCTCCCAGATGCTGGTGGCCGGCCCGGAAGAGTACCAGGCAAGGGTGCAACATGTGGGTCAGTGTGAGGGTTGAACCCCTCCGTCCGGTTCAACGAGATGCCGCAATATGAGCTTACCAATTCGGGTTGAATGCCAGATAAAACCATGAAGTTTGGTTTTTTGGAGATCCGTTTCTTGTTTAAGGATTTGACATTCTTGTAACGAATGCAGAAGATTGCAGACAAATGGAGTTCTGTGTTCAAAGGGGGGGCACGGGTATTCCCATGTTGAAGGCGTGCCACTGGCCAACCTTGCCAGACTGAGCTTAACATTTTTGTTCGGTTCTGTTTCAGCCAACCAAGTCGAGATTGTAAGAAAGACAAACAAAAACCCAACTAGTAGCATTGCCAGACTTGACTCAGCTTTCAGTCCTTTCTCCTTGGCGTTTTCCTTCAGTTTCCGTTTCCAGCTGAGAGGTCAACTTGAGACGGATCTATTTGGCCCAACTTTCCCAGTTTGGTGGATGTTCAGTTCGGCCAGTGAGCCCTTTTCCTTGTGTACCGCCTTTTGCATGACAAATCGAAAGGACACCAGCCAGTTGAGCCTGGCGAAAACACGTGCTTCTTGCTCCGCCTTTGCTTTCCTTCCAAAAGGTTGGTGGCACTTGCGTCAACTCATGCGCATTTGAGAGGCGCAACAGGATTCGACCATAAATGGGCAGTTTTAGTATGTCTTGGCTGTATTCTGTCCACGTTTCTTCCTTTCGAAGCTTGCCAAATGACCGGGACATTCCGCGGAACCCAAGTGGCCCCTTTCGGACCTTGTTGGTCGCGATTAGCTCCGATTGCGACTCTTTGACAACCATAGCGTGGATGGACAAAACGAATCAAGCCCTATGAACATCCGCATTATCAACCTACCAACCTTTGCCTGGCGAGGATGTTGTCCATCCGTAGGACCAAAGTGGCCAGGTTTGGGGAAGCCTCTCGCTGGTGCGATAGGTAGGGAATGACCCTTCCGGTTTTTGGGAATGCACCTAGGGTTTACGTCAAAGGAAGCCATAGGGGATGGTTTATACGGGTCATCCCCACAGGCACCCTGCCTATTGCACCAGACAAGAAATTGCCCCGTCCGGTTAGGTCAGCAATCAGCTGCTGCAGCGCAACATCTGGAGCGTGTCAGCGCACGTCTCCGACCTGCAGGAGAAGTGGCCCATAGGAGGTGGTTCCACCTGGGTCTATGTGGGGGATATGTTCGGCCTCGTTGGGCCTACACTCCCATACAAGTTAAAGGAAGGAACTCCAAGAAGGGCTGTCCCGCCAAGAAACGGCGGGTTTTGGGGGTCCATGTTAAACTGTAGGGGAAATAAATATACAAGTCTCCACCATCTTGGTAGAACCAAAAGTCAATGGGCCAACCAGGGCTTTTGTAAGTCCTAGGTGCCAACTAGTTACATCTTAGTGCTTTAAGATGGAGCAAAATACCTAGGTTTATCAGTTTAGCACCTGACACTGAAGGCAGTGACACCATCTTTGGAGCTACATAGGAGCAACCCGAAGGTGCCACATAGAAATGCACCGGGGCCCTACAAATCAGGCTTTTGGTAGCACCCAGTTTCACCTGTCACTGTACGTCTCCTGGATTGTTCCCTTTTGAGGTTCACACATCACCTTTTCGACCAATTTGAAGGTTGGGCTGATGTGCAAGGGGGACCTACAATGATTCCTGTGAAAGCTCCTTTCTCCTCGCTTGCCTCAACCCGGAAAGCTGCTGCTCAACTGGCAGAAACCAGGAATTGAGCGCAGGAGAAGCCTGGGCTGCTCTGCATGTCTGAGGGCGACTGCAAGTGCCTCGACTTTTGGCGAAGGATGGCAACTTCCATTGGCGGCTCTGGGTGCTTCATTGGCCATGTGGAAAACTCCCACCATGTGGGGGAAGCAGAAACCTCTTGGTTGCCGGGTAACCAAATCTTTAAAGAAAGTCTTGCCTTGTTGGGGCAAGGCTCCGGCATATGCACGCAACCCTAGTTGGCTCTCACTTTGGTAGTTTACACTATTCTGCGGGGGAAACCTCGAAACCGGGCAGGGTTCCCTTTTGCTTCCCTCGGACGCCCGAAAAAAGACCGAGAGCATCAACCAGGTCTTTCCTTTTCTCCGATTCTCTCCCCAGGTGCGATTTTTGGGGCTTCCGAAACTCAAAGTGAGGGTTATTCAAGAGCCCCGGACGGACCGAATCGATGGCGCCTTTTAAGAACCGGTTTTTCCCGGTCCCCCCTCTCCCAGTCTTCTTCCGGCTGCTTTGCAGCTAAAGCCTCTGGTGCCTGTCGGCCGGGATTTGGCACGCCACGGGGGAGCCATTCAAAGCATCCGCCAAGCCAATCAAACTCCTGCGAATTCCCGCTGAGGCTGGTGCTGCAGGACGGTGTCCACGAGGTGATCTTCGGGGCGGAGCTGAAACCCACGGAAGTTCGGTGGATCCAACGGCAGCTTTGCAGCCACTGGAGACTCGGTCAGGTCACTGCCAGATGGCTACCTGGAGTCGCCTTCTGACCCTTAAAAAATGGTGGGTCATTTCCCAAAACAATGGGGGTCATGGAGACTCCAGGTATGTTTTTTTTGGGGGAACCCCCTGAAAAGCCCCACCTAAATGATGTCCAGCAAAGAAAGCCTCATTAGAATTCATACCCAAATGGCTGTGGTTCAAAACCGTTTTGGGATCCCATTTTGGGGTTTTCGGTGCACCACCCACTGTAGAACCTATTTTAGTGGTTGGATTGGGATGTTCACTTAGGGGTACAGGGTTTTGACCCATTGCCACGTGGCTGATGAAACTTTACTCGCCTGTTTCGCCCAACACTGCCGCCCTTCAGAGTTGCTGTCAGAAATCCGGTTCTGCGTGTGTTGTTCGCCTTTCGATTCAGCCAAACGTATTGTTCCTTTGGCCTTTTGCTCTATTGTTTGATTCTCCAACCCAACACTCGAGCACCAAAAAAAGCCCCAGTGCCACAATCGGTAAATTTCAGCGCATCTTTCCAGTTGTTAGTGGCAGCAACCCCGTTCAGTTTGGTCCATTTCGAGTGACACCAAAAGATCGGATGTTGCTTTGACTTGGCGTGGCTTAGCTTTTTGCTTTTTTGAGTTGCTGTCAGTTGCCCTTTGAATCAGCCAAGAGTGGCAACTTGTTTTTTAAGGGCGAACAAAACGTACGTCGGATCCGTTGCACCAAGGAAGTTGGAGGAGTCGAAGTGCTTGGAGAATAGCACCTACGCCTGGGGTGAATCGCAGCTGTTGAACCAGGATTAAGTGAGGGCCCCTTAGTCAGTAATCAGCCACGCCTCTTTAGTGGGAAGATCATCCCCCCGAAGCGCAGGCAGGACTGTTTTTAGTGGGAAGGTAATGCTCCCCATAATCACAAAACCTATCAGGCGAGTATGTTGTAGCTGCTGCTGAGGCACATATTGCCGGGGAAGGCTGTTTCTTCTTGGTGGGCATTCTTTCTTCCATGGGGAACCCCCTGATTGATAGTTGGGAGGGATAAATGAATCTCATGGACTAACAGGGGAGGGCAACTCCCCCACGAGTGATTTACCGATTCCCCTCTTAAGCGGGTTACTCTCCGCTCTGAATTTTGAAGGATCTCCTTTGTAATGAAACTCTCCTTTTTTATTGTTAAGCAGGGGGCTTCTGGATCCTGCGTCAGCATTTCACTTGGTGAAGCGCACCTCCCCGGTCAATCGCACCTGGACCTGGTGAAAATCCCTCATATTGTTGCAAAGATGCACATCTGATTGTTAAAAAACCCCAAGTTTCTCGACTTTCCCGCGTTCCCCTTTCGGTGGGACCGCTGATCCATTGGGCGGATTCCTGAGACTTTCGTGGTGCTCCAATCCGAAGTAATGAATCATGATTCAGCATGTTTGACGTCGTAAAGCCGGAAAAGGGCGGCCATTTTGAATTACAGGCACACACGCAGTTTCGGGCCCTCTTTTGGCTTGACGCTTACATTCACGCTGTCCCGGCAAGGACATGGTGAGAAGCTGGCCCGGAAATACGAAGCATAATTTTTAGACAGAGGGCATACAAGCATTGTGTACTTATAAGACATGTTTCCAGGGGCACGTGCTTATTGATTTAAACAGGCGTTAGCAGTTTCAAAAGCGTACAACGGGTCCAGGCCCAGGTGCGGCCGCTTGATAATCTGATAGCCTGACTGTCCAAGATGGAGGGTCGCGCGTGTCAATAGTCAGGGGTCGTCCTGTTGCAACACAAAACACGTTTGCCTATTCAATGGCGAGCTCACCGCTTCGGGGGTAAAGACCGTCCACCGTGATGCAGGTCCTTTATTTGGCGATCCGATTCTTATGCCAGGTTTTTGAATGAAGGTTGAAATTGCAACAACTTCCAGAAACCACCAATGCTTTCTGGGAAGAATGGTTGAGAATGGGCAACGTGCTGCTCCAAGCAGCTGTTTGTCATCAGCTCCCCTACTGCGGAGTCCTGGCATACCATGTTCCTCTAGGGACCCCTTTGGTGGGTTCTTTAGTGCACGGCAGGGTACCACGCTAAGGAGTTGCCGGGTGTCCCGCGAACTTTACGAAACTTGTAAGGCTTTCTGCAACAAGTTGGAAAAGGACAGCCCGATCAAGAAGAGCGGTTGACCAAGAGACCGTTCGAGCGTTCCAATTGGTCGCCGCGATCGGCCGACAGCCGAAAAGAGGTGAGCTCGCCGGGCTTGTGCGCTGCAACCTGTCCAATGGGCTCCAAAACGTAAGCCTAGACTATGCCACTCACATGTGGGATGGACAACTCCATTTCGCAGCTGTTGAACTGGGTGTGTGTTTCCAGAATCGCCAGGTTCGACCAAGGTGAAAGAAACGATGAAATGGGTTTGCGCGAACGTGTCTCCCCCTTTGAAAGTTCATCTCGTGCTCGTGCATTATGGGAGGGAATTTCGATTAGGGACCCTTTGTGGATATCATTTAGGTGGGGATTTATGCCCTCCCTCTTAAAAAAGGTTCAACCCCTTCAAGAGCCATACAAAAAAGTCAAAGGCACAAATAGTGTGTGCATCTAAGACACTCATGCACACCCATGAACACATGAGTATAAGCTCAGAACGCAGTAGCACCTATCAGCACCTAAGAAAACCTACCAGCACCTAAGAACACCCACCAACACCTAAGAAATCCTACCAACACCCAAGAAGTCCTATCAACACCTAAGAAAACCTATCAACGCCCAAGAAATCCTATCACACCTAAGAAATCCTATCAACACCTAAGAAAACCTATCAATACCCAATAAATCCTATCAACACCTAAGACATCCTACCAACACCTAAGAACACCTACCAACACCGAAGAAATCCTACCAACACCCAAGAAAACCTATCAACAGCCAAGAAAACCTACCAACACCCAAGAAATCCTATCAACACCTGAGAAAACCTACCAACACCCAAGAAATCCTATCAACACCTAAGAAAACCTACCAACACCCAAGAAAACCTATCAACGCCCAAGAAATCCTATCACACCTAAGAAATCCTATCAACACCTAAGAAAACCTATCAACACCCAATAAATCCTATCAACACCTAAGACATCCTACCAACACCTAAGAACACCCACCAACACCTAAGAAATCCTACCAACACCCAAGAATACCTATCAACACCTAAGAAAACCTACCAACACCCAAGAACTCCTATCAACACCTAAGAAAACCTACCAACACCCAAGAAGTCCTATCAACACCTAAGAAAACCTACCAACACCCAAGAAATCCTATCAACACCTAAGAAAACCTACCAACACCCAATAAATCCTATCAACACCCAAGAAAAACTACCAACACCCAAAAATCCTATCAACACCTAAGAAAGCCTTAGAACCACCTTGGAGGTTTCAACTTGTCGCCTCGTCTCGAGCTTTCGAGGTCCTTCTGCGCGGACTTTGCGCAGGCGCCGGAGTGGGGCTCGCAGCGCCTGGCGGCTTCTTGGCGGAAGGACAAATGAGCCACGTGCTCAAAACCCCTAGATATTTATTTGGGTGTGGTTCGTTTTCTGGAGGTCATCCTTTCTTTGGTTGGTTTGAAGGGGAACCCCAAGGAAAGCAACATGAGCCACAATCAAAACCCGGGTAGATGAAGGCTAGTAAGGGACGATCCCCTTGCCATGAAAAAGCTCCGAATATCCGCCTTCTTAATCCTGTACATGGTTCTGGGGATCGACCATTTTAGTACCAGGTTTTGATGACGACTCAAATGGGTGTGGGTCAAAATTAAAATTAGCTTCAGGCAACCCACCCCCGTTTTTCCCGGGAAGGCAAATCACACCCCATCCCATCCCTCGCTGACCGCACCTAGGTCCCCCAGTAGTGCCCTGCTGTCCCGTTTCTTTTTTGGGGGAGGGTTCCCCTACTAAAATAGACAGAAAAAAGTTGGTACCCTTATTATTAAAACCTCTCTATTGGAGGACCTAGTATATATCTGGTTGTGGGTCAAAATTAAACCACCAGGTCTCCCCGTTTGGGGAGAGGGGAGACTGGGTCCTGCAGATTTGAGAGGTTGCAATGATTTGGTACCTGAGGTTTTTTCTGGACGTCTATTTGGGGTGTGGCTCAAAATTCAACGGGTGGGGCAAACCGCAGGTTTTGGTCCATGTTGCCACATACCAGGGCAAGCTATTTTGGGGCTACCCCATTTTTGACCCACAGCCAAATATGGGGGTTTTGAAAGGAGCTCAGGTTTGGTTAGCTTCCATTTGCTGAAATGAATAGGTTTGGATGGTTTGGATGGTTTGGATGGTTTGGGGATTGGAACCTGGTAGAGAAACTCTTTCCACAGGAGGTTTCTTTTCCAGACAACCATGGTGACTTCCATTTGCTTAAGAATGTTCCTTTTTTTCCCCTGTTGGTGTTAAATGGAATCGATTTTGCTGGACACATGTGTAACTCCAGGGGACTTAAGCAAATATAGGTTAGAAATAGACGGGTTCCACTGGTTTAGACGGGTTTTCCCCATTCGCCAGTGAAACCCATCTATTTCTAAACTAAAGGTCACCTAGGAACGCTCTTCGGAACATGATGTAAAAAACGGGGGTGCCGTACCTTCGGCTAGGGACCTGTTCGTTTTTCCCAGCCCAGACCGTTTCTTTCCTTTTGATCTATGGGCCCCTACCCTTCCAGCAACCATGGAAGTAGACGATCAGGGGCGTTGGACTTCTGAAGCCCTGATGTCAGCGTTCGATGATTGTTAGAGGGAGGCCCAGCTCAATAAGCCTGTCCTAGTCATAGGAGGTGTTCTCCTCCAAACAGGATGAACCCAAGTAGTATTCAGCAGGGGTTTACGAATCCGGGCTTCGCATTCATCGGGAACCACCTGAGTGGATATGACTTCTAAGTCCACTGAGTCTCCGAAATGCGCCGGGAGTAGATTTGGGCATATCAAGCTTGTTTCTTTTGCTTTCCCTGGGAACCTTCCGCGGGCTTCGGTTAGTTGGAGAGAGAACTGGTAGCTTCCCAAACTGGCACCCGGGAGCAACCACCCGTAATTCCCCATAAAAGGGTTCCCTTCTGTAAGATGTTCAACGTTCCGTTGAAGGCCTCCGAAGTTGCACTGCAAACGGCGCATTGGCTGAGAGTTTGAAACGCGGCTTCCAGAAGCCAAGGTGTTAGAATCAGTGGACAAGACCTTGCATGCCTGACTCCCAGACGGGCAATCGGTCTGCGACTTCTTCTGGCGATTAGGGTGCGCCGCTAGGTGTTTGTGTGTCCTTTTTTGGAAGGTTCCCTTTTGGAGTCGGTTCAATGGGAAACAAAAGGAACGCCATCATTGCAAATGTTCCCCTATTTTGAGACAAACCCGAGTTCGTCTTGTCAGAAGGGAAACCGGCGCTTTGAACAAGAGAGGTTTAGCCGAAAGGAAGTGGGGACAGGATTTCTCGACGGTGTTTGTAGGGAAATGTCTGGATTGCTGGCATGTGTGCAGACTGCAATTGAATGGGGACGACGTTCTGGGACACTGCACTACCTTGCACATGGCCGGCCTCTGGTGGTAGTTGCTTCCTCTTTGGAACCATAGGAACCCAAACTCATCCCCCCAGCACCTCACTTGACCCGCTTTTTGGCACCATGTTCGATGGCTTCTACAACATGCTTCGCGACCTTGTTGGCAAATCCGCTCGATCAGAAGTGAGAAAAGGACTCGAAAAGTTGCTTCTGCCTAAGTCCACAGCCTCCACGCTGACGTCAAGTAGGTAGTGACTTGGCAACCGAAACCCACAGAACAGGCGGGACCATGTT